ACTGTCAACCACTGCAATAATGGTGGCTTTCCTTTAATATTAACTTGCAATTTTATCTATGAAAAACTTTCCGAACATGGGGCGAAATTTAAAGTCATAAGAAATAATAAAAGTATGAAATTTTGAAAGCGGGCCATCCTAGTAACCGGGCTATCTTGGGTAAATGTAACATGTATACCTAACATTTGGTTAATATGCCAAAAAAAAGATTGTGTGATTATTATTATTGTTATTTTGTCAATTAAACTGATGTTATAAGTAATAATATTAGTAATAGAAAAGCAAATGAAAGTATCATCGAACTTCTCAAGGTCTGTTGCTTTAGCGATACTTGCATCACATTTTCACCCCTCTTGAGCACCCCCATGCTGTCAAGCATGTGCGTTACCTGATTGGCTTGTGTTTCGTTGATTACCTAGAACATTCAATCATCAGTAAGATGTTCAAAATTACGAAGAATTGAAATTTATTATTTTATTGCTGTTATTATGTTAGTTTTCATTTTATTAAATTTTTAGCAACTTAGCCCTATCGCCATACTATTTGTCTCCAACACTCATACTGGTTCACTGGTAGAGCATGCCTATGGTATTAAGTCCGCCGTTTGCTTATGTTTAGCAATAAAGTATAATAAATAAATACTTTGAAATATACTATAATACTAATTAAAAACTTTTATACCAAATTAAGAAAATACGGACAAGTGCAAGTCGGACAGGCGTACCGAGGTGTAAAATGGTTTACCTCTACGCATTCCCGATAAAAAAGGTCTTGACATATAGACAGATTGATGGACCTACGGACAAAAAGGTGTTATAAGGGTCCAGTTTTTTCCTTTGAGGCATGGAACCCTTAAAAGAAATAAAATTTTAATATATTTCATTCAAATCGGAAATAACATATTTTTTTCTTAATAATTTAAATCTTTTGTTATGGTTTGTTGAATTTATTTTTTATCTTTTTAAAGATATTTCGTGTCTTTGGTTTTAACTTTATTTAAAAAATTATCTTCTAAAAACATCGACTAGGCTGGGTAGATAACGAAAAACGTAAGAAACACAAGCGAAACTAATTCCTTCTGTTACATATTGTCTTTTAGTATGCAAATCGTTTTCTGGTTAGGCAACAAATTCCTTCTGTATATTAATCTAAATTTGTGTTGCATAATTTTATCATTATTATTATATTTCTTTCATATTCGACACCGACGTCGTATCAAGAAGTGCTGGACCGGCAGAGTTTACGCTCTCGATAAAAATGTTATTCCTCATAAAATAACCAGCTTCGTAACGGCCATCATAAAAGGGAAACGCCAGTAAAAAGTTTAATAATGAGACTAACACTACACATATTAAATTTTTGCACTAACCTTAGTGCATGATCATGAGATCATGAGGAGCAGTTTCCGCAAATTAAATATTGTTGTGGCAATAACCTTCGTATCACCGTATTAATTATTAATGTAGACATTGTCAAAACTTCAGAAGTTAAGCAAGCTCGAACAAGAAAGTTTCCCGTTTTAACCTAAAGGGCGTATTTTTAAAGATTTATGGGCTTTTCCAACCCTTCAACTTGGAATTAAGTGTAGTGGCGCCATCTGTTGTCGAGTATTTGAACTTCAAGAAGGTGTGAGAAAGTAGAATAATTTACCAGTGATCTGTTCTGGATTGCCATTTCAATTTAAAAGATCGCAGTTTCCAATTAAATTAGCCTTTAGTTTTACAATTAGCAAAGCGCAAGGGCAAACTTTAAAATATTGTGGCATCAACCTCAAAGAATCCTGCTTCTCTCACGGTCTACACGGTCACAGCTATATGTATCTTGCTCAAGAGTAGGAAATTCGAAAAATTTATTATATATACCTACCCGGACAATAAAATTAAATGTTTTTTTATAAACAAGTAGTATAAATAATGAGAAAATGTTTTCATTTTTTTTTTACTTTCTACGTCATATTTTATTTTTTTATTTCAACTACACGTAATCTTATATCAACACCCGAGCGAAGCCGGGTACCATAGCTAGTTTATTATATTTCTAGTGATTTCACGCCAACATCGAATATAGACTTCTCTTCAGAGATATTCGTGCACGAAACATTTTTTGCAAGATCGATTTTGCTAATAGATTGAGTTATTTTTAAAGGATACTTGAGCGGCAAGGTCGACGTACATACATCGTTTAATCGTGAACTTTGATCAATATGGATACGTTATTTGCAAACGCCTATTTAAGCTTTGTCACGCTTACCTACAGCATATTTTAATTTGATATGAGAAATAATAATTCAGTACGATGAATGTAGCTTGAATTCATAATTTACGATTATCGTTAAGAAATATAAGGAATTTTCCTTTGTTTCCCGTAACAGGTACTAAAATTATTTAAGTAATGAATTCGCCAATAACACCCGGTGATTAGCCAAAGGACAGGATATCCGGAAACTATTGATAGCCATGGGCTGGTAACCTGACGCTATTGGTTCGCTTTTCTTATACCAAACCAATGCCAAATGTGGCTTGGAGTGTGGCTACAGATAAATATGGGACGGGCCTAGTGAAGAATCTTATCATTTGGACTTTTTTACGAAACATTATTCCTTTGTTGAAATATTCCAACTGATCATACTTGAGGGTTTTAAAAATATCGGTATATGTACATAACTTCAAGCGCAGTTTAAATAGCTGTGCCCCATTCTCTTATTTGAAACTTGTGAGATAAAACCATAGCACATCCCCAATTGGGGTCATATCATCTCACGTGTATATTTAAGTCTCTAACACATATGTGTATTTCCGCTCTTCTTTGTCACTTGTTGCTGCATTAATATGAATGAGCTTTCCATGTTCCCAATATTGATGGACGCTTTCAGTTGGGTGACCTTCGGACTCAGGGCTCGATTGGTCTGTAATGGCTTTTAAATTGTCGCCGAGTTTATCGGTTTGATTGCCTACATTGCTGTTACCTACTCCAAATTCTGTTTTAGTACCAGGTTAATATTTGCTTAGGTTCGTATTTCACGTTCATGCTGTTTGCTATTAATGGTAATCGGAAATTACCCTTATGATCTTTATGCAAACAGGCGTTAATAGGTGTGTGATTAGAAGAGAATCTAAGTCTACTTACCAGAATGTTGACGATTAAACATTGAAACTTAAGCAAACAAAGGAAATAATAGATCTAAGGTAATTGCGTCTAATAAGGGCCGGGTTTTTGGAAATAGAAATAAATCAATGTTTGGAAGTGTGATAATTAGTACGACGTCATGATCAACCAAACTGTTTTTATTTGAAAAGAAAACGTTGCACAAAAACAACACACGAATGACCATTTATTTACAAAAAAAAGTTTTTTAAAAGCTTGTTTATGGTCCTTATTGTGTACTAGGGCTCGAATTAAGGTCCATGATTGAACTGCAAGATTTCAGACGTTGAGTATCAGAAAAAATAAATCTTTAGATAGCAACGGCTTTAAATTACTTTCAACTTCATGGCTTTCCAATATTAAAACGGTAATTCATATAATTTAGTATTGTGGCCCTTATAAAGTCATACGAAATATATATAAGTTGTAACTTATATATTTTCTAGCTATAAATGAAACAAATTGAAGGTTTGTGCAAATTTTTATTAATTTTACGAAAGACAATCACTAAAAGTTACTAATGAGTTATTTTTTCAGTCTTAATCTTGGGACCTTATTAGGTATAACACTTATTTAATCATAGTGTGGACCTTATTAAGTGTTTCTAACAGGTAACACGGTAACCACTGAACCTAAAGGTTCAGTAACTTATCCCGTCAATCTACATTCTGAAAGTATTTTAACATTACTATTGCAAAATTATTACATAACACCGAGTTTTATTATTGAAACAAAGCAAAATTGGATCACAATATTTTATTCGTTCAGTCACGTCGACTGCACCTGAGGTTACACACAGAGCCACTGCCAAAATGGCCGGCGCGGAGGCAATGAACGTCGGTGCGCTTTTATGATTGGTTACTGGGGAGGCGCTGCGCAAAATCAGTTTTGGTTTAAATAATAAGTGCGGGAAGTTTGAAAAGATGGACCTTATTTGGAATCGGCCCTTTTTAGGCGCACTTACCTTATTATTTATTGTATTGAAAAATCAAAATGATATCCGCTATCATTAACGGATATAATTTTGATTGTTCTATAATAAATACTAAGAAAATACGATCATTTCCAAATTAATTAGAATATTCTTAAAATATTTACGCTTTCTAACCTTAATAAGAATTTATTTGGGTAAAATTATAATTATGTGTGTAAATATAAAAATGATACACGAACATGCATTATTGTACTCAATACAAATATATAAAGTACCTATACATTTTTAATACTATTCTCAGAAGCCTTATGTTTAAAACATTTATATTCATTATTACCACTAAACCACTACATCGATTATAACATGCTTTTAGGGTTCCGTAGTCTTGGCAAGGAACCATTTTAGTTTCGTAATGTTCGTCTGTCTGTCTGTCCCCTGTTTTTTTCTAAGACTATTTTCGATTTAAAGATTCGTTTGCGAAATATTCAACCTTAAAATGCTATTTTTTGATCGTGTAAGCCCCCCCCCCCCCCCCTCACCTCCAAAAGCTAAACTATTGTCTTGTAAAACCTGTAAAAATTCACGATAAGTGATACCGAAAGTGCTTTTCCTTAACTTTTAAGAAGTATTATAACGATTACAATACATTTATTAGTTTAAGAGTAACTTTCAACTTAGGTATTAGAAAATTTCAGACCCAAAAAAAATCCTTAGCAGAAAACATTAGAAGTGACTTAGACGAAGTAATTGCTTATAATATAGACTCTTTTTAAAATGTATTGTGGTGACGACGAGCATCTACAGAACCCCACACTATGTGTGGCCAGTTTTTTTTATAAAAACAAATGAATAAACTTAAAAAAAAAAACAGTCCGATCTGTTTTATAAAATCGTTTTTATTGACACAAGCACCTTATTCCAGGCTGGTGCTAATAGCTCTGGTGGTGGAGGTGCTGTACCCGGTGACATGGCAGTGCCAGTCGGAGGGGTGGAGGGGCGGGTCGTTCGTGCGGCTGTACCTGTGCGGCACGTTGGCGTTGCAGGCCGCGCTGATGCTGCTGCTAGCGGCGCTGGCACAGCAGTCCGCGCGTGGCACCATCACAGATGTAGACCAGAGGCGGCTGGTGTCGCCGCTGCTGTTGATCAAGTAAGCTTCAAGCGTGTTTGTAACGTTAGTGCGGCTGTACCTGTGCGACATGCTAGTTCTGCAGGCCGCGCTGATGCTGATGCTGGAGGCGATGGCACAGCAGTCCGCGCGCGGCCCCATCACAGACGTAGACCAGAGGCGACTGGTGTCGCCGCTGCTGTTGATCAAGTAAGATTCAGGCGTGTTTGTGACGTTAGTACGGCTGTATCTGTGCGACACACTAGCGCTGCAGGCCGCGCTGATGCTGATGCTGGAGGCGCTGGCACAGCAGTTCGTGCGCGGCACCATCACAGACGCAGACCAGAGGCTGCTGGTGTCTCCGCTGCTGTTGATCAAGTAAACTTCAAGCGTGTTTGTGACATTAGTGCGGCTGTACCTGTGCTACATGCTAGCGCTGCAGGCCGCGCTGATGCTGCTGCTGGCGGCTCTGGAGCAGCAATCCGCGCCCGGCACCATCATAAACATCGACTAGAGGCGGTTGGTGTCGCTGATACTGTTGATAATTTGAGCTCCGGGCATGTCTGTATTAATTCGTGTGGCTATACTTGTGCGGTACGCTAGCGCTGCAGGTGGCGCTGATAATCACTTCCTTACTTATTACTTTTGAAATTAAATAAACATGCATTACACCATTAAAATGCAAAATGACAGAATGACTGTTGAAGCAGCTAGTAAAATATGTTTGTCAATTGTCAAAATTCCGAATAAATGAGATCGTAAGTGAGAATACATCTTACATGCTTCTGATCAAAAACTGTCTGAGCCAAGAGCATATTCGTAACGTCAAGCAATAGTAGTCATCTACTACCTTTGCGAAAAGTGCTCAATATTTGGAAACAAATCGGTTTAAGAGAACGCTTAAGACCTTGCACTAAATATTGGTTTTAATATACTTAAGTAACGTACTTAAGTATATTAAACGTACTTAAGTATATTATTAACTACGTAGTTATATCAAAGTTATTAAAAACATGATTTCGCTTGTGATATTAAAGCTAAGCTAAAATTACTTATACCGTTGGCTCATATAGAAAAAATCTCTTGTTCAGGGTGCTGCTGGTAGTACCAGAAATAGTCTTGAACGTGATGGGTACCATGTGGATGTTCTGCGAGGTTGTGGAGTGCTACGTGGAAGACAAATTCTCCAGCATCGTGATACAGAGTGAGTCCTTAAAATATTTCTCAATAAAACCCATTTCATTCAAGTTACGGCTATTTTAAAGAAAAGGAAACGAACGTGAATATCGTGGAACAACGTAGTTAAAAATAAACGTAAGTTTAAGTACAAAACTACACACAATACGCCTGCGAAACAGCTGATGGTTGTGACAGAAAATCGTGACGAAAAAAATCATATTTATTTATTTGTTGAAAGTTAACGACAATGTTAACAATCGCAACTATTACATTTACAAATCAACCCAACACAAGGGTTCTGATATGTATACTGATGTACTATTTTACCTAAGAGTATATCATAGTTAGGTATAAGCTTACGTAGGGTTACCATTTACCAACTTCAAAGGTCCTGACAAGAATCCTGACATATAAAAAAAACAGACTTTTTAGTCACAAAATGATACCATTGCTCACTTAGTTACAATGGTATGGTATTTAAATCAATATGTACTTTTATTATTCATATTCAATGTAATTAAAAAATCCGGACTGTTTGAAGATCCAGATAAAGTTCGGACTAAAGTCTCAAAGTCCGTACATGTCCGGACTAATCCGGATGGATGGTAACCCTAAGCTTACGTCCGTATCATAAAATCACAGTTCACATTACACTACGTCTGTCGTGATTATTCTATGGCGCCATCAAATGCTTATGGTTACGGTCAGTGTACGAGTGGAGAGAGAGTTCCTAGCGGAGTTTGATTAAATTAATGACGGATAAGGGTAGAACGCCGCTTCAGCGATTTAACCAGATTCAGCTCGTTTGAATTTACATTGTTACATAACAAATGAACGTTGTTATGAAAAGGGAAATGGTTTAATTTTTTGAGTCAGATCGGGTTATTCATCAACTGGACACCAAATACGGGGCACATGTGCGTCCAGTTTGTGAAACTCAAAATTGATCTGCCGATGCCGTATAAAGAAACATGATGCGATATTTTTTTTGCTAAAAATACTTACTTGATAGCTACTTCGATTTAGCTGTATTATGTAACTGTTATTCATTAAAAAAATTACATTATACTTCTGTCACAATTGCGTATAATAGAAAAAAATACATAGTGAAACACATTTATAGAGGAAATAAGTACTTAGGTATTATTATAATAACAATAATAACCGCATTTCTATTATGAACACGTTTAACAATCAACTTCGAAGAATCAGTTATTTTTGCTACATAGACCATACGAAATTAATCTACAACTACAAGTAATCACGCGAAAAATTAATGCAGAAAATACACAATGTCCTTACTCTCATACGGCATCACTCTGAGTGAGTTTCATGGTGTCGCCGACTCGAGAGGTCCCGGGTTCGAATCCCGGTGGAGGCAGATGATTGTGTAATGAATACGAGCATTTGTACTCCAGACATTGTTGTTGAATATGTATATCTATATAAATATACTTATATATGCACAATAAATGTATTCTATCCGTTACCCTAGTATCCCATAACACAAGCCGTACAGTGCTTACTTTGGGGCTAGGCTAATTGGTGTGAGTGTTGGAAACATTTGTTTATTTAATTTAATGGCTGTTAAAGAGACGCTTTTCCTTATTTTATCTTATTAAGAAAGTAACGGACACATCAATCATAAAACTTTAAAATTATTTCACACCTATGAGCCGCGGTCTTTAGATTTTAACTTAACGAGGTATATCTAGCCACACAGTAAAAGAGCCCATAGCATCTGAATTTTTACATATGGTAAACTGAGGCCCAAGCCCAGCTCCACAATCGCATGACATCGTAAAAGTGTCTATGAAAGCTTAGCAGCGCCCCAACCTAACATAAGAACAAGCTGGCTCCTTCCATACAAAATTTAATGATCATGCTATCAAAGTTCATGCTCGGGCCTCTGTTCAAATTGCTGGGACCAGAAATATGTGATTATCCATACACGTGGATAAAAAACTAATTTTCTAGGCGTTGTTGTGAATTTTATGCATAAAAAATTTAGGACACTTCCACAAATACCATTCAACCCCAAAATAAGCATGGCTTGTATTTTGGGTGCTAGATAACGTATAACAACATACCACATTTATAAAACACAATCATTGTAAAAAGTGTGAAATCATTCGAAATTCTCTGGCAACATTCGTGCCTCTGCTGAATCATCTTTGAGATACGGATCCACGTACACAGATCATCAGTTGATAAAATTAAAAACGAGCGAGCCTTACTTATGTTCTAACATCAAATCAAATAGCCCGCACTTTCGCGACTTCCTGTTACACACTTCCGTCCTATTTCACGAAATCACTCCCACAAATTGCAGGAAAGCGAGAGGAAAGATGTTACACATCAAAAATAAACACTTTATTTTAGGTAAGTACTTATATGGGATTCGCTGCGTTCATGCCTACAACTTCATTCCATATGACGTAACAGAGGTATGGCATAGCGGATTTTCCGCTTTATTTAGAGCACTCGTCTGAGGAAGAACTTAACCTCCACCTTGGTGGTAAGGTTCCAGAGCTCCACAGGATATGGGATCGGGACAGGGTAGACAACGGCGCCAGTGACAGTTGTTGTATCAAAAGCGTCTAAAGGCGTACCGTATTGGCCACTTACCATCAGGTGGGCCAAAGGCTTGTCTAAAATCATTCTTTATAGAAGGCAAATAAACTCGATGGGATGCAAGTTGCGAAAAATAATCATATTCAACCAACTTCTACCGACTCGAGGAGATAACGTTAATATCCTTTTGATATGTTAATTATAAGGCTATTCCAGTAATTAAGAACAACTAGATCCACCTACAGTACTAACATACACTAATTAACTTAATCAACTTGGCCATCGATGAAGTTACCTGCATATTGTTATGTAGATACATTTAAAGTTAGTGTCACGGTCGCGAGTTGCCGCTATGCTATGTTACACCAATTTGTTTCAGCAACAATGATTCTATTTCAAACTTTCGTATAGCAAAGTTTACAATGTAAACGCTACGGGAATGATATCAGAACAATGATGCTTGTTTTAGTAGTGACGCGTGCTCGGGAGAAACAACATTCAAACGTTGGAGAAGCAAATTTCGATGTACACAAATAATACTGAATTATCAATACAATGGTATTGTTGACGAAACTTCTTAGAAAATCGCTTTGAACATACTGGAACTAAATACAAATGTGGAAAATTACAAGCACAGCAAAAATAGTTTGGTGATGATAGGCAATGAATTCTTACAAATGCTTATATTTAGCTTCAAAGAGTAAACATGTCAGGCTACCTAAATTTTAGTAAAATTATAATACAAATATGCACAAGCCATCTGGTTGCTAACGCAGAGCTTGTTAATAAATTTAAAGACGAAACAAAAATACTAACTTTCGTTTTTTGTTTATGAGATAGATTGGTTTAAAAAAACAAAGAGGGCATATTAGTACTGCATCAATTAATTATTTTCATGTCTGGGAAATGCCTTACGCATCCTTCAATCACTGGGAGAGCGAGAAGGTGTGGGACTCCTCACTGCTCACTTTAGCCAGCCCTTGAGCCGGATGAAATAAGCCTAAAATGTCCTGTTCAGGGCATTATGTAGGGCCGTCCCTACCTAATGCCCTGAACAAGACCACTAAAAACCAGACAATACTCCTCCCCTGGTTCCCAGAGGAGTGGGAGGGGGGACGTAGTTCTCCCCGTCCCTCTCCTGCTCTCTTGTCCGAGAATTAATCACAATTGCATTCTGAAGTTGCTTCATTTGCTCTCGTAGAATCCTCAACTCCTGGTTTATCCGCTCGTACTCGGTCTTAAGCCGGAGGACCTCGTCGGTGGTTAACCAGCGGCAATGTTATACACAATGTTAGGTATCCCAGGGCGACCGTAGTGGGTTGACGTTCTCCGCTAACCACCCGCGCACGGGCTCTCCGACGTCCCGCATCTCAGAGTCACAACTTTGAGGATTTTTTAAAGAGCTAAGCTCCTTGCGCCGTTGCCTACCCTGACTCTATCCCCTACCCCGTGGAGCCGTGAATTTTTACTCACCAATAGAAACGCAACACTACCAAAGGGTAGTGTTTTATTCTAGCGGTGGCTCTTTTTCATTATCTATAGAGCAGGATATGGATAGATAGGTATACTAATGTCAAATTTAGTTCTAGCTACAGAAAATCATTCTACAATCGAAACAACCAGCAAAATTCTATATGGTATTTTGGTACTGAAATATCAACACTTCGCACTGTTTCATTAGCAATGGCAAATTTCACTCGTGCGAAGTTGGCAACAGTTACAACTTTGAACAAAATAATTTTTAAATGGGTAAATAAATTCAAATTATAAATAGCTGCACCTCAACATAATTAACACTGCATACATAACCAGGGTGCTGCAAATTAATGTCAATTCAATGACAATGATATTTCAGTAATGATTTGTGTGTGATTTTACCTGAAATAGCTACATTTTATGTCTCTTCAGGTGCCGACTTCTAAACAAAAGTAATAAAAGTGAACTAAGAAACATCAAACGGCCTCGCTGTCACGACGGTTCATAACATAACTCGAACCCCCACAACTAATTTAAATAATATTCGTGTTTGTGATAACATTTAATAAACATTAAATTTGCTTAGCAACGTCGTTATCAGAATAGCCAATAAAGAATAACTTTCTCAACAAAAAGTGAAATGCAGAGGACATTAATTATCACACAGACTTAAAAAACGGCTCTCAATTAAATTTTTTGTCGCTACACGAATATTTCAGTTTTAGTTCGCGGTTATTTTGATGTTTTTTTTCTGTTAAATTAGCTGTTTTTTCTCAGATAGTCACATATTGTTACGAGATAAATTTGACGACCTCCGTGGCCGAGTGGTTTGTACGCCGGGTTTCATGGCGTCGCCGACTCGAGAGGTCCCGGGTTCGAATCCCGGTGGGGGCAGATGTTTGTGTGATGAACACGAGCATTTGTACTCCAGTCATGGATGTTTAATATGTATTTCTATATAAATATACTTATATATGTAAAGTATATGTATTCTATCCGTTACATAACACAAGCCTTATAGTGCTTACTTTGGGGCTAAGCTAATTGGTGTGAGTGAAAAAAAAAAAAAAAAAATCAATGCACCGTAGCCACTCAAGAACATCCTGCTATAAACTAAATGCAACAACATCACCTTTAATGGTTATAGTTTTTGATATCGTAAACTAGCACACGATAATACGACAATATTAACGATACATCGAAGGTCCATTTTAAGAGTTACTGTACCCTTAGCACGATCCATTATAGAATTCGAATTGGTTGAATTATTCTTGTTATGTCCGTTGTGGCGCTATTCAAATGTCCATACCTATTACTTCTTGACATTCGACGCGTACCGAGATCCAATTCAACTAAGTATTCGAATGCGATAGTGGTTCATTGGTGCTAAGGGTACTGATATAACAACGCCACCTGGGTCCACAAGCTTAAATATTTTTTGTCCACAGGCATAGTCCTATTCAACTGGGTGCAGCTTGGACTGACCGTGTTTGGGTTGTTCATGGTTTTCGACCCCCTGGGTTCAGTGCGGTACGGCGATCTCCAGGACACACCCAACCAAGTCCGGCACCACAAGAAGGTCACGGGTCTTTGGTCAAGGCGGTTTCGGTGGGCGTTCTGTTGGTTGAAAAGGGATGAACACGGGAAGGAAGCGTTCCAGCAAGTTGCAGGTAACTATATGAATATTATAAATTAATAGAAAAATGTTTCGATTCTCTTTGTCTGATGGGATATTTTTTTATAATTATGAGACTTGTTTACTGTAAAATAGAATTTTAGTAAAGTTATTAGTTCCTTGCTGTAAGTAGGTACCATATTAATTATTTTTGTCACGTTAACTATTTATTTAAAAGTTCTTGTCTTTTCCATAAATACATATAACGATACGTTATTTTAAATTAAAAGTTATTAGAGTCGGAGCAAAAACCAATAAAATACAAAAAATCTTACCTTAAATGAAACGATGACGAATGGATAGATATAATGAATACCTAGAAGTTATAATAAAAAGGAAGTCAATAAAAACATTCAATTAACATATAAAATACAGCACCGTTGTACCTAATCGCCTTACCTTGAGTAAGTCGTAATGTCTGTTCTACAATGGAAACGAGTAAAGACGACCACTCCATTCAATTCTATTTAAAAACATGCAAGCGTCCTCGACTCCGTTGCACCATAAACAATGATGTAAACCTGTTAAGAATATCATAACAGAAATCGTGATAATAATAGTCTTAAGGCCGTTTCAGTGCACTGATTAAGGAACCGAGTGTGAAATCTGGAATATGTTCAGTCGTCATAGTGCGTGATGAATGTTCCTGTTAGTTCAGTAAAACAAATGAAAACCTATCTAAGTGAAAAAAGGCAAGCTTATTGACAGCAAACGGTCTCCATGGCCAGATAAACATTAGGATAGCATCTTACTTTTCAGAAGTAATTTTCGCTCAAAAGTTGTCTGCAATCAAGAAGGCCAGACTGCCTTACAATTTCCTGCCACCTGCCTCTATTCTTGGACTGCCTGGGACATTTAATAATAGCTGAACTTAAATTGGTCCGCCCATCTCATAAGCGACCTCAAAACTGTTTTTTAAATGGGAGGAATTTCCTTACGTGAGTTATCTCTCCGATTCAAGTTGAAAATATTTATAAGTTTATGCCATTTCCAGAAGCACTAATCATGTTATTTGTTACAGCATTATTAAGCGCCTTGTTCCGGTCGACTGATCTCGTCCCATCCGACGTGGTGGCGGGCTGCGTTCTTCTTAGAGTGAGACAGAAAAGGGAAACCAGAGAGATGAGGCGTATCCAAATGCTTAACGACGAAGAACCTATATACACGACAGATGTGAACAAAGTGTTCTCCGAAACGCCCCCTTGGATGAATCTAGAGGACGCGCTGCATTATCTGAGGCTTTCGATAGCGGCGTACGGGTGGCCTTATGTGCTTTACAGGCATTGTTTTACTGGTTTCTGCAAGTTGGCTCGACATTTGACATGCTGCTGTTGTCGGTAAGTTATATACTTACGCAGTTTTTAAATAAATTATTTTGAAATCATCCTTTATCTAGAGGCAAGTGTGCCAGACTTTCAGTCACCACTGAGGATGCGGATATTAATTCCGATCGACTAAATGTTAGCTGTCTCAAGTTTAGGTAGGTCCTCGTTTCTGATTAAATGACTGGTTGTTGTTAGCGGCTTAGGATATGTGACACGACAGCGGCTATTGCTAAAAAAACCTTGGGTTCAAATCCCACCATATTAAATTTTTTACAAAGCCGTCATGGGCTCATATATTTTTTTATTGTATTTAGGTTAGCTTTTTATCCTATATCCAGGCCAAGAGCAGAGATGGTAAATATACAATCCCCGCCTAAAACTTAGCAGGAGCTGTGATGGCTAAAAATATTTATTTTCGACTCATAGCTATTATTATTTCTTACTGTTACACTTCATTTTGTTTCTATAGTACCTTAAAAGGTTCTCTTTGTTTAAAACTAAATAAACATTGGAAATTGTCCGGAACCCTTAATTTATTTCTTTAGCATGTAGTGCTTTAGCTATTTGCCTTAGGTTCATAGTGACGGTTTCAAATATTTAATCAATTTTTTATAACATTCTAGTCCGTTCAGTCACCTCGACCTTCAATGGTTGTAATTAGTTTTCTTGATAATTAGTATCCGCTGTATTTAAGGACTTTTTAAGCAAACTCCAAATGTAAGACCGGTAATGCCGGATACTCACCTCCTCGATTACATTAAATCAGTGTATAAATGATTACGCACGATTACTTACTACCGGAATGAAGTAACGTCGTGTTAATTTCCATTTCCCAATTACAAGTTACTGAATCAATGTAACAAAATTATCGACCGGACAATGAAACACACTTAAAGGTAACAATAAAAATATTAGTGTTTAAAAAGATGTAGCAACGTACCTAATGTGTGTTTGAACCGAACTATTTATAAAACCAAAACATTATCTACCAATAACCTAAGGCCCAATTTTATTGTGAGACGTCAGTACTAAACACACATAACACACCGAGTCATCGATAGTGGAATGGTGTTAATGGATCATAATATTTATAGATATTTGTTCACTTTTTAGCCAAACAAGTTTTTATAGACTAATAACTACTATTATATAAGCGGCGGGCATAATAACGAAGCTTTTTATTTTACTAGATTTGATGTTCTTATTGGCTTTTCTTAATTTTAGAGGATACTAACTTGTTTGGTGTTATTGGTAAATTGGTAAATACATCTCAATACTTATTATTACTTTTTTAATTTAGATTTTTGGGCTTTAGTTAACTCGCGACTTACAATTTTGTACACCGTACTCTTTTAAGTTGATGTTGATGTTGATTGATGTCACCAATAATCCTAAATAACATACCAATGATAACTGACGAGAAATCCAGTGAAGCTATGGAAATTGCAATTTATCAGTTCTATGATTTTCGCTTTGAAGTCGTAGTAAGCTATTTGGTCATGCACGTGATTGAGTAACCTAGGGAAATGGAATACAACAATGGTATAAACGTAGATAATTCAGTACCAGCACGAGTCGAACCAATATCGAATTCGAATAGTTGAATACCATCTCCATACGCGTCAATTGTCAAGAAGTTTTGTATGGGAAATAGCGCCACAACGGACGGAACGAGAACTAAAAATCTTCCATACAAAACTTTTGATGCGTATCGAGATCGAATCCAACTATTCGAATTCGATATTGATTCGTGCTAAGGGTACGGTATAGAAAAAAATGTGGTATATCAGATGAACACGATGGGATCTGTAGTTTCGATGAGACACCAACCAGAAAAATAGATTTTTGTTATATCTCGATCGTAAGTCGTCCTTCCTACTCTTACTTTATCTAACGCCATAAGAGTTGGACTCCATTCTAAGATCACAGCATGGAATTACCAGCTATTTTCGCGTCTCAACTCCACCGCCACTTCACATCAGGTGAGGTGAAGTCATATGTCGGATCTATTTAAAAAAATATATAACTTGAGTTATAACTCCATGTACTTATCACAGTCACTAGTGTGTTACAAAGATCGTTGTCTATTTTAGGGGTCCTAAATATTGTTATATTATTGTTTGCAGCCCAAAGAACTCCATCGTTACCGACGACAACTGTTGTATGTGCAACTTCGCCGGCGTCAAGTACATGTCCAAACTGTCCGCTGACGACATAATCTTCGCATCTTTCAACAACCACGTCTTTGAGGTAATTGCTATCATAATGTTTCACTTCCCATAGATATTTTTACGCAATAAGGCTAAGAACTAATTTCGCGATTTTCTTCCGCGCCCCCTGCGGCTGCGGCTGCCCGCCGTTGTTGCCTGTCGTTACCACAATATATAGATATTTGAGCAGGAGTCTTTATTTAATAAATCGGAAATTTAAAAAAACAATTATAATCAAACTATGTATCTCAACTAAAATATCTAAATCAAAGTCACGCTTGATCAATTCGATATATTTTTTTTTAAATACGAATGTTCATGTGCTCAAAGCACACCTCTTTATAAAAACGAAACGATAGAGCGATTCATAAGCCGTTTACATTGGTACTCGCGATAGCTTTGTGGATCTAATTTTTAAATAGGTTTTGTTTTAGATTTTGCTTTTCAATGCAAGGTTTAACGCTACAATAACTTCATCTATGTCACTATTAATGTTTTCTTCTAAGGAATTTTCAATAGGTAAGAAATTTCATTTAACCAAAGTTGAACGACTGTTACTCTTAACCTAACAAACAATCTATCTTAACCATTATAATTTTCCTTGAAAGTTCATAAAAAGCATTATTATCATGATTTTTCCAGGTTTTTCAAACCATTACTTTAGTTTTTAGAGGAATGGGGACGCCCTACTCGAACATAAATTTTCACTTTAAAGTTCAATATTTCGCAAACCGATACCTAAATCGAAAAATAGTGTTAGGAAGCCTAAGTAATTTTAAATGACCTATTCAACGATACCCTACACGATGGGTAGACGAAGAAAAATTTTATTCTTTTCATTTTGTTAGCGTGATTGATATACATATTCCACAAAATTACAGCTCTCTAGTGCTAATAGTCTCCAAGCGAACCGTGCTAGGCTTGTTGAATATGTATCGATATTTTTTGTTCGATATATCGATATTTTTTGTTCGATATATCGATATTTTTTTCCGATATATTTTGATTCGATATATCGATACAAAATAACCAATATCGAAATTCGTATCAAAAACGATATTTTTTTGATTATTAGCGGCATATCACGATCTTACTAAATTCGTATCTGGAAAAATCGTAACTGGATCTCAGATTAATGATATTCAACATATCTATGATCTGTGCTGTATTTAGTATTGTCTATTATTTGTAAATCTGTTTCGCTGGTGAATTGGTTGTGCTGATTTCCATTATATTCTGTGAAGTGTGTGACTGTCTAGTCTTGTTTAGGAAAGAGACCCTGCGATCATTTTCATCATTAGAAAATAGGGTCTATTTTTAGGGAGATAATTTTCGTTCCATTATTATTCCGCGTGTCATATTTCGTGAGATACTATACGATATTTTTGGGAAAATTGGTCCGATATATCGATATATCGATGTTTTTTTCGCGATATATCGAAGCCGATATTGATATTTTTTAAAAGATCGATGTATCGTTATATCGATATTTTTTTCAACTTTCGACATCCCTAAACCAGGCACGGACATGACGAAACTATAAGGGTTCCTTGACAGGACTGCGGACGGAATCTTAAAATGTCACAATAATTTATAAATTAAAATAAAGGGGTTGTTGTGCATGCGCTACAAAGTTAATACGTCACTTTTTTGTTTACTCCATAAATTGAAAGTTAATTTGTTACATTTTTGTTTTCTTCATACATTGAAAGTTAATCCGTCATGTGCTAATTGCACGTGACGGATTAACTTGACTTTAATCATTTTGATTAACTTGACTTTGACTTTCATAAAAAATGGTTGTTTAATTTACACACACATTTTTACGTGATCTAATTAACTTTGTGGGGAATGTACAACAAACAATCTTTCGGAGAAATACTTACTCGTATATCAGTTATAGGTAACTTGACCTGTAGATATCTTTACCTACATTGCGGGGTTGATAGAGCCCCAAAACTACACATACCATGAGTAGGGACACCATATCGAATAGAAAGTATCGATACTGTACTCATGAGTAGTACCCTCCCCCCCCCCCCCCGGGGCTTAAAATTTTAAAGAAAAACAATCAAATTTTATTATAGTACGTATAATCAAAAACAAAAAAGGACATGTAAATACTCAAATTGCTATATTATCTAGCTACTCTTAAAAATGGGTATTGTTAATATAATGAACTACAAAACTAAACGTGCGTAATTAAATATATAATGGGAAGAAAATAGCTGTGATTTTTGACACTAAAAAGTGTTCATTAATATTACATTCATAATTAAAATGTTAATTAAAGAGATCGAAATCTTAAACAATATAAAAGTATAAAACTTTTCAGATTTGTTACATATTAAACTTACTTTTCTTGAATTTTAATCATTAAAAAACAATATAGCCACTTATGGTAACTTGAACCTGACACACAGTTAACAGTGGCCATTGGCATGCTTCACTCAAGATAATAATTATAGAAAAGGTTTCGTCCGTCTTTTTTTCAGGTCCGTGGTTTCAAATAGGTATACACAGCACAGACAGTATAATAGTGTAACACTTGAATAAATCAAATACAGTCAAGCGAAAAGCACAATAAACAGTGAATCAATCACAGTTCCAAATAATATGGTCGCTAAATAAATAAATATGAAATAAAAAAAAGCGCAAAATAAACACAGTCACAGATTGGAAAGAATTTGAATATGTCAGTTACTGACTGTATGACGACGCAATGGAACGTTTTAGAAGGTTTGCTATGATTTAAGAAGATGGTGTTGCCATCAATATGAGGCGCTTATCCAAATTTTTAAAGGTATCGATACTGGCCAAAAAGTACTCATTTAGTAAAAGTATCGAATACAAAGTATCGAGTACAAAAGTATCGGTATCGAAAGGAAAAGTACTCGATACCACAAAGTATCGATACTTTTTTCGTGTCCCTAACCATGAGATAAACAAAAAACTTTCGGAATGAGTCAGTTTTAAGTCGTTATCCGGATACAACAGTTTTCTTCAAGCCAACGGGCCTAACTAAAGACTAGTGCATATTCTTATATTTTTTTTTTCATTCGAAATTACTAAGAACTTATCTATATTACTAGAACAAAGCAATCATCATAACACGACAAATTAGCACTCAGATTTAAACAACATTTTAAAACAGCTTTGAGCTTTCTTTGACAAAGAAACGGTGCACGTACGCCTCCGTTCCGGAAACAATGTAAAATAGTAATTTCAACATTGTGCATTCATCATGTTACAATAATTTCATCACTCGACATTAGTGGCACTTACTTGCTTTGTTCGAAATGAGCCAGCGCAGCTGGGCAATTCTACCCAAATCGTGTAAAATACAGTCTTTGTTAAATAACGAGTTTAATAAAGCGTTAATACATAGTTTAATTTTGCTACCAAATACTTTCGACGTTTTCATTACGTTTGTGCCATACTTTTATTGAAGCGTCCGCTGTTATAGACTTATGGAAAGATTTTTAATGGTACGTTTTAAACTCATCACACGAGGCATAACCCGCTGGTAATGTAGGCGTTACATGAACCTACACACATTACGACATTTTCGCGTTTGCGTGTTTTCAACTTCCTGTTGACCTGTCCATCCGTCCGTAGCGTCAGCGTCCGTCAACAGTGCATACACGTGTTGCACGTGTTAAGTAATGTATGCATAAAGTCCTCAGACTTAAATCTAAAGAAAATATAACTAGAAAAAAATTATTAACTTAAATAAAATTAACTGTTATGTTACATGCTTTGAAAAAAAATATATCCTCAGACTTACTTTAAAAAAAGAATTGAATGAATATTGGAACAATAATTTATGCACCGACCCGGTGAGGAAGGCGTCTTAGTTAGGGGATGTTTAAATCTTTAGATTTGAACATCAAGCAGTTACATGCTTTAAAAAAATTATATCCTCAGACTTACTTTAAAAAAAGAATTGAATAGATATTGGAACAATAATTTATGCACCGACCCGGTGAGGAAGGCGTCTTAGTTAGGGAATGTTTAAATCTTTAGATTTAAACATCAAGCAGTTACATGCTTTAAAAAAATATATATCCTCAGACTTACTTTAAAAAAAAAATTGAATGATATTGGAACAATAATTTCTGCACCGACCCGGTGAGGAAGGCGTATTAGTTAGGGAATGTTCAATCTATAATACTAAAACTCCGCGCGCATCGAATTTCCTTTTTTCGTATACTTGTGTTAACTTCCCTGTCGTCATTGAGTTTGGATCACGTTATACCTAACGTTGTTCTATCTTTCAGTTACCGTTCTGCGTGATCGCAGATCACGAGCGCGAGAGCATCGTGGTAGCGGTACGTGGATCTATATCCCTCCGTGACATCTTTACTGACTTCACGGCGGGCTCCGAGAAATTCGAGGCCGATGGTAAACAAATAACTATAATTATTTTTTACATAGGATTAGACCATACTGATTACACGGCTTGAAGAACATCAATAATAAAGTGCACCATTGATAACTCACTTTAGTACTATGGACATTCTATTGCGAACTTTTCCAGAAAATAACAGTGATAGGGTTTAAACAATCGCAACAATAACTGACGTTAATGTGTTCATAGCTTTTACTATATGTAGCTAGTTAAAGTCTTGTTGAAAAATAAAAGGCTTGTTGTCTTGTTGTTGTCAATAGAAACAATGTTTTTGACCAAAATCTCGCCTGATGGAAAGCGATGATGAGGCCTAGGATGGTACAAGCCTGCATAGAAGATGCCTGTTCACTCTGGCCTTGAAGATGTCCAGATTATATTGGTCCGGGAAAACAGACCTCGGCAAGGAGTTCCACTCCCTAGGCGTTGGCATAATGAAAACGTAAGCAAATCGCTTCGTGCGAATGGGAGGAACTTCGACAACATAAGGAAGAAAGCCTTCGCCGCACCTGGTTTAATTCAAATATATAAAGAGTACAACTATATAGATTATAATATGACATATCAAAAAGGAACTAACCAGTATTTCAACATGCCCCCTTAATCTAGATAGTTGGGATAATCTAAGTTAATAGATAATAAGAAAATAAGCATCACAATCAATTATTTATTAGTGCAACAAATTATTTTAGAGACAACCCTAACATTGTTACACATTTATCATGTGCTAGAAGGTACAAATTTAAGTTTTTATCGTTAGTATATCTGTCTATGCATTCAAGCAAATCGTCATACATGAAGAACATTCGCATCTTGAATTTTCATATCATGTAACCTTATCCACCACAACGGTTTTATTCCATTAATACTCATACTTCTCTTTACCTGAGTGCTTCCTTGTCCCGTAGCCATTGTTCGAATCGTTTGATTAGTCTTCTACACAAAAACATAAAAATCGTATATCCACAAAGAATATTGCACTAAAACGCTTGATGATTTATTAAGTTTTTACGAAAGTCCTTCCTTCCTTCCTTCTACATTCGTGCTGATAACGTGTTGCAAAATAAAAGACTCGTTGTCTTGTTGTTATCAATAGAAGAAATGTTTAATTGAAATAAGTAGATAAAGAGTACAACTATGTAGATTACAATATGACATATCAAAAACTAACTGACCAGTATTTCAACAGTTCTGAATTTTTCTTTCGCTTGCAGTACAGTATGTATGCTCTTCTGTTTCCGCTCTCCCGTTCTCTTCTCTAGCAACTTTAAATGTTATACATTCAAGATTATCATCAATATGCATGATATTATATATTATTATTATAGTATACATCCCTTAACACAAGCCTACAGTGCTTACTTTGGGGCTAGGTTAATTTGTGTGAGTGTTGAAAATATTTATTTATTTATTCTTATTGACACAATTCAAGTTGGTCCGTTTGAAAAAAAAATTTTGGACGATTCAAAAGAGTTGTACTATACATCCAATTTGAATAAAGATATATTGATTTCTGATTTCTGAGTCAATTTATTCTTAAAACCACATTCGTTAGTATTGCATATTTTATTGCTCGCATATTTTAGATACCTCATCTGTGTCTGATCGATTTTTGTCAGACAGTAGGATTTACGTACCACCAACTTATAAGGCATTAAAAAATGAGAGCTCTACAAAAGTAATGGGACATTCATAAATCGATCATAATATGGTAGAATAAAAAGCACCATTAACTAATCATGGTTCTGAAATGAAGTTCTATATGTAACTCATAATTATATCTTATCCTATCTCTGAAATGTGGTACTCATGCTATTTGTATAGCTACATTGCAAATAAAATTGGGGAAGGGCGCTGAAGTCAAAATACAGGATTAACTCCCTTGGCTGAGGATGTCTATATGTACTTAGTGTGAAATAATGGCCTTAGTTTTAACATATTTCTAAGATTATTACCATGTACAATTTTTTACAAATTAATATTATTTGTAGTTATATTATTTGTGTACATTTACTAATATATATTATTGCTATATAATTACATTTATTATTAGTACTATTCATATTTCTTTAAATGTGATCTCGCAACTCAGTTGTGCACCCTACCACTAAAATCTCCACAACACCCTATGGTTGACTGGTACAGAATGCCTACGGCATTAAGTCCGCCATTGTAAGTACAGTAAGTGCATGAAGAATAAAATAAATAAATATGTGAATTATTATATTAGACGACCTCCGTGGCCGAGTGGTTTGTACGCCGGGTTTCATGGTGTCGCCGACTCGAGAGGTCCTGGGTTCAAATTCCGGTGGGGGCAGATATTTGTGTGATGAATACGAGCATTTGTACTCCAGTCATGGATGTTTAATAATTATGTATTTTCTATATAAATATACTTATATATGTACAGTATATGTATTCTATCCGTTACCCTAGCATCCCTTAACACAAGCCTTATAGTGCTTACTTTGGGGCTAGGCTAATTGGTGTGAGTGTTGGAAATATTTATTTATTATTTATTTTATTATCAGGTTTACCACAAGATACCGCAGCCCACAAGGGAATGTCAATGGGAGCAGCAAAAATGTTAAAGCGCCTGTTACCAGTCCTAGACCGTGCCTTTCAGCAGTTTCCACATTACGATCTAGTATTAACAGGTATTATTATAACATACTTATCCATGCATTACTCGTACTCTGTACGACTTAATGTTATCAGTTCTGATAATTTTGACACTTGCAGGTCACAGTTTGGGAGCCGGAGTAGCTGTATTAGTTGCGCTAAAGTTGAGACCAAGGTATCCACATCTCAAAGTGTTTGCCTTTTCAACACCAGGTGAGAAATTTTGTTTTAGGAGCAATATCTCTTAAATCACAAACGTTTCTATAATAAATCTTTTCAAATTGTTACAGTCGACTCCAAAAAGATGTGTACATATTACAAAAATATGTATCCATTAATGACATTTTCATTGTTTGTTACAAATGTACACATGATGTATGCCAGATTTATGTTCCCATTAAATGTGCCAAAATTATGTACACAGCTAAAATTACACCTTCATTCTGTGCATAACATTATTGGCGTGTCATTTGTTTATCGCAGCTGACTTTCAAATTATTTTTGCCACATATTTCATCATCATCATAAATAAATATTATCCAGCAGTGGAAAAATTGGTTTCCATACAAACTTTCACCCCCTTTTCTCCCCCTTACAGGGTGATTTGTATATTACCTATAAGAATAAATGGATTGCGCAATATTCATATTTTAACACAAGTAGGTGACTGCGACTTCGTCCGTGTGGAAAAATTTGTTACCCATTCAAACGAACCAAGGAAGAACGCTTATAAAAGATATATTGTTTTAAACTTTCGTGGTCACTCACATTACAGTAATTATTGTTATTAGTGGGATTGATACCATGTACCTTGTTTTTTGCGACGATCCGATATTTCATCACTGTTGAAAGCGCCATGATCATGGAGCATCTGAGAATGAGTTATCCCGTGAGCGTTAATGCTACCTGCATTAACGCTTATAAAAGTATCCACAATTTACTTGAAAATACTTTTTATGTACTTGTTTCTATTAAACTATATTCTTACATATTTTATACATAAGTAATATTAATTAAGAACAAATCACTTCGTGGATTACCGACAATTCCACTTTCGTGTTTATTTATAATATCCTCAAACTAAGCTTATATCCCATTATAATTTGTCGCATTAAAAAAAGCCGTCGAAAATAATGGCGCAAGACATTCTTTCTCTCTCGCAACATTACTTAGGATAGCATTTGCAATAGGAACAGAATGTCTCACGCCTGTCTCATTTGCGATTTAGTTCTTTAAATACTCAAGTTACAATAGGAACAACAATAGGCTGGTCGTGATGATGAACGTAACTATATTTTCAGCGGGCCTCATAAGCCGGGAAGCAGCCCGGTACACTGAGAGCTTCGTGCTTACTGTGGGAGTAGGGGATGACCTCGTCATGAGGCTCAGCGTGCACAGTATAGAAAACCTGCGCACCAAAGTCATCCAAACCATACACGCCACTAAATTACCAAAGGTAAGGGAGATAATATTGTACCTTATTCTTATTTTTTATACCGGGATTTTCCACTCGAATTGGAGTGCCTGTCTGGGGAAGTAAGCTCTACTTTATAGAAGACCACAGTATTTGTTTCTTAGGTTTTCACGCACACCACTCATTAAATAAAACTAGTTTTTACGGGTTAATGCACGAAACTTTATTTATTTATTGACGTTTCGCAGCCTTTTCAGGTCTGCATCGTCAGAATAATGATTTTTTATTTAAAATTGTCGAGCTACCTTGGCTCAATATAAGTCTTTCGAAGGCTCAATATAAGTCTTTCGAAGGTAGCTCGACAATTTTAAATAAAAAATCATTATTCTGACGATGCAGACCTGAAAAGGCTGCGAAACGTCAATAAATAAATAAAGTTTCGTGCATTAACCCGTAAAAACTAGTTTTATTTAAGACCACAGTAAATAAAAAAAGTAAATTTTAAAAATCAAAAAACCCGACTGCTTAAATATTACTTCAAATAAAAACTGAAAAAAAAAAAATAAGTCCAGTAGTCGGTACCCATTAGATATTCAAGGATGGATCAACTTTTTTCAATAATGGGTCCCGACTGTTAAAGTAGCTTTGTTCCTTACTTAACAGAATTATAGACTACTGGGCTCATTTTTATCTTTTCAGTTTTTATTTGAAGTAATATTTAAGCAGTCGGGTTTTTTGATTTTTTTAATTTACTTTTTTTATTTTAAACTTTTTAGTTAGGATTATAAAACGGTATATACTGCAGTCTTGTCACTTCAATAAGGGAGTTAATATCAAGCGGATTATTAAGTACCTTGCGGTGGTCTAAACGACATCTTACCATCAGGGTCAAGGCCTTATGGGCCTCAATTTTCGCAAAAATGTGTAAAGTTAAATCAATTCCTTATCCGTAGGTATATCTAATGAATGTAAATTATATACTTAACTAGTACATATTTTCCGTATTTATTCAAAAAGTCATCTTTTGCTTATTTTATTATTAGTACTATATAAAAAAAATCATTTACTTTTATTCGTCGACTATCTAAAATTGGCAGTGGCTGAATGCAACTCTAAGATTGTGATATACACAAATGCAGTGCATATCCTTGTCTCATAATTTTTTTACTTACACAGAACCAAATATGTAGGTGCCAGAGGTTAAATATTACTATCTTAATTATCTATACTAATAGGTTATATTGTAAAGAGGCAAAAGTTGTATGTGTGTAACAAATAATCTCTCAAACCTGACCCGATTTCGAAAATTCATTCACCATTAGGTAGCTAGCTACATTATTTAATATATTTTTAAGCATTAATCTTAAGTAATCAAATCTGCTCGATTTATAAAACAAAAGAAACTTTTACTTGAAAAATTCTAACAACTTCTCTGAGACGATCTTTTAGTATTTTTTTTCTTTCTAACTACATTATATTCGAGTGACATGGGCTATATTCTATCCCGTTAAAATAAATTTCGCCCATGCAATGTCGGAGTGGATCACTAGTATAATATTACAGATGCGAAAGTGATTTTGTTTGTTACTATTCCGCGCCCTAATAGCTAAATCGATCATGATGAACTTCCCTTAGAAATAGATGGGGCCTTGGTTCTAAGCTACATTTTCGAAATATCTATAGGGGTAGGGTTTTGGGAGGGGGGTGATTTACTTATAAAACTTTATATTATTTGCTTCGAATTTTGTAGAATTATCTGCAGAATAATATGAAGTAATATCGTTAAAATAAAGTTTGAAAACCGTTTCATTCTCAGTTTTCCATTAAATTTAAAAAATATATAAATACCTATTATGATAACTTATTTTTCATCATTTCATAAGAAGGAACTTTATCACAGTTTTATTGTAAGTACTTCGTATAGGATTAGATAGTGAGTAGCCCATTTTTTTTCTTTTCCTCCTAGGTTTTATCTACGTTTATAAACACCAAAATTCATCACTTTTCCCACCATTCCCTCAGTATACTCGTACTCCTGCATAGCACAACGCGCTATCACTTTGTCATCGTAACATCGTTGTAACTTTTTAAATATTTGTCAAAATTACACAGAGTAAAAGGCAAAGTTTATCGTCTTTATATATGAAAAGCGATAAAAGTATTTGTTTTGTTAAAAAATAATTTGTTTATACAAAATATGCATTTTGGAAATTTATTTTAAATAATATTTTATTTTTGATTCACTATTTTAGCTATAATGGCTACCACATTAAAAATAGATATATGCCAAAATGGCTCGCAGATGGAAGATTTTTTCCGTCTCACCTGACACTTATTGTTATATTTTGGCCAATTCACCAAATAACAACATAAATTATAATCTATATGCTATTATTATGTATGAGCTTTATTATTGGTTAGTTTGATTAAAATCCATTTAGTATTTTTTGAGTGAAAGAGTTACAAAGATTCATACAAACGTAAGATTGAAATTAAAAGCGCAAGTGGTTAATATACAACTTTAAATCGTTGTAAATCGTAAACAATCATATAAAATAAAAATCGGTGTAAGGAACCTAAACATGATTTTTGATTATCTAGACAATGATACCCCACTCGACATGTTTCGGCAACTTATTTTTTTTTCTTTCTCACAATATGGCGCCCAGTTGTCTCCATATTGATTATTGATTATTATCATATCTTTAGTAGCACTCCCATGATTAAGACGAATCTATTGATGTATGAATCATCAAAATCGGTCCACGCGTTTGGTCTCTAGTGTGCCACAAAGGAACAAACATACATATATAGACTGTTAAACACTATACCCTGTCTGCGCGTCGCGCTTCGCGCTCTTGCATTGCGCAGTCGGGTAAAAAACACTTCCTTTTGGTCGTGTTGTGTTTCTGTCAGGGCTCCACGGGGTAGGGGATTGGATTTGGATCAGGGTAGCCAACGGCGCGAGTGATACTTTTTGTATCTAAAGCGTCTACATATACGTATATAGGCTATGGGGGCTCCGTACCATCTGGCGGGCCATTATTATGCTTGTTTGCCACCCTTTCAATATAAAAAAGACAAAAAGACAACGAGTGCGAAATGTCAATGTCACATTTTGTATGGAAACTTGAACAGCAACGCTACAACGGACGTAACGATGGAACTAAACTACTAAAAATCCGTACACATTTGACGTATAAAATAGATCGAATCCAATTATTCGAATTCGATAATGGTTCGTGCTAAAGGTATAGTACCCCTAGCACGAACGAATATCGAATTCGAATAGTTTGCGAGTCCGAAATGTCATTGTCAAATACTGATTTTCAAATTAATTACCCATTAATTTTTCCCAGTACCGTATAATGCTGAACGGTTTCGGGTACGCGCTGTTTGGCGTGCCGGCTCGCGACCTGGAGTCGACGTGGCGGCGGCCAGAAGAGCTGGAAGCGAGCCGCGCCGACGACGCCGCGGACGCGCTGCTCGGGCAGGGCGTCTCCACCGTGAGTGCTGTCAGTGACCCCATTACAGGCCGCCGGAGTGACGTCACGCTTGCTTGTGTCTGCTTCCTTATACCTCACCACCTTCACTTGTTTTATTGTTGTCGATGTGGCCGCCGCCGACGCGCTGCTCGGGCAGGGCGTCTGCACCGTGAGTGCTGTCAGTGACCCTATTACAGGCCGCCGGAGTGACGTCACGCTTGCTTGTGTCTGCTTCCCTATACCTCACCACCTTCACTTGTATTATTGTTGTCGATGTGGCCGCCGCCGACGCGCTGCTTGGGCAGAGCGTCTCTACAACGAGTGCTGTTAGTGACCCCATTACAGGCTGCCGGAGTGACGTCACGCTTGCTTGTGTCTGCTTCCTTACACCTCACCACATTCACTTGTTTTAGATACTTTGCAGCTTCCCGTGTCTTGTCATGACTCATGTGCAAGGAATGGTGCGTTCTTTAAAGACAGAGAATGGACTGAGTGTCCCCTTATCATTAGCCTATCAATGTCTCCACTGCAAGGGCACATACCTCCCCTATGGATGGCGTAGGGAGAATGGGCTATGACCCACCACGTGGGCCCAATGCGGATTGGTGGGTGCTAACAACTGCAGCTGCAGGCAGGACTAACGGCTTAATGTGCCTTCCGAAGTACGGAGGAGTTCGAGATACTAAGTTCTTGGTCACCCATTCAATGCCCGATTATTGCGAAAGTTACTCAACTTCCACGAAAGCAGACCGAATGCGCTAAATACCTGAGCCTCGCTCCTCTGAGTCACCTCTATCAAGCTGTAATATAACATTTTATATCGGTATTTAAGTGTTATTTGTATTGTATGTATAATTTTATGGGAAGTGTTAATAGCATTTACTTCTTTCGTGTTAATTATTTAAGTGTATCTCGCACCGCTTTTATTGAATAATAATAATACAAAAAACTAACATAAATTCTAGTTTTATTGATTTTTGAAAATTTTAGCATATAAAACAAAATCTGCCATCTTTTACCTTTTTTATAAAATGATTTTCCAATACCAAAACAAAACAATAGCAATTACGACGACTTGAGAGTACAAAAGTTGGTTCAGACACAGGAACTTCCCATAAATTGAACAGATTAGTTTTCCGGCTTTAGGCCCCTTTTTCCCAGGACTGGTGACGCTGTGAAAAATATTAATTTTTACTGGTAGCACAACGATCATAAAAAGTAAATTCAGAGAAAATATTAGTCTGTTTTTGTTACAGGAAGCGGCGCTAGTGTCGCGGAATGTGTTCGTTCGACGATTCTCATCGGCGCGCCTTTTCACAGCGGGCCGAATACTGCACATAGTGCGACGCAAGCGCATGGGCATAGAAAAGTAAGCTTTTTTGTAACCTTTTAATTATATTTAAGAGAAATTTATTGTTGAATTGTTGGAAATTAATAAAAACATGTTTTACATGTCTTTCCGAAGTAATGAAGCGGATGAGGAAAGGTAATTTAATACAAAAATATGTTTCTCCTATGCTACTGGTATTGAACTTCAGTAATGTATTGTTCACTTAAAGACTTTACTATAGCTGCCGAACTATCTTTGTTGGTGTCAAACCCCACGGTGGGCGCCAGTCTAATGGAACATGAATATTTTGTTACTTTCTATTGGAATAGTTGAATTATAGCAAGGTATCAAAATATAAAAGCGTAAAAACATGGAATTTAGTATATTTAAAAAACACTCAATTGAAAAGTTATTTTAGATTAACCTTATGAAACTTTTACTTAAATATTAAAGTACTAGTACAACATATTTATAGGGATAAAAAGTTATTTTTTTTTACTTAACAAACTAATTATTTGATGTATGGTACCATGTTGAAATCGAACCAGCACCTTCCACTATCCAGGTCAATACATCATGTTTCCAATAACTTAGTTTCCAATAACGTTGAATTTCTTGTATGCTGCTCCTATGCTGCAAGGCGGCGCTATTTCTATACATTGCAGATAACAACATTGATCCGGGTAGCAAAATAGTGCATTTGCCCGTATATCGAATGGTATTTGTTCAATTTTAGCCTGGTACCTAGGACTAGTAGATGTGTTTCTAACAAAAACAAAACACCGATTTATATTATCATTTGTTTCTACAGAAAAGTGCGCACACATGAACCAACTTACGAGCTAAGGTGGGCTTGTCCCGAGGACTTCATGGAGCTGCAGGTGATGCCTCGAATGCTTCTCGACCACTTGCCTGAGAACGTAACCAGCACTATCCAGACAATCATAGAAGAGCGGCACACGTACAGAGTCACGCAAGTGGTATAGAAAAGCATGAAACAACCGTAAATATGGTTCAATGGTTCACAAAAAAGGACGAAGAAAATATAGCTGCTAAAACTTGAAAAGTGCAGTGAATAATCTTATAATTAACAAGAAATGAAGTGTTACTTTGATACGCAATATACAGTGATATTTTATTTTGTTACAAATGATATACGAATGGGATAATTGTGATGAAGGGGATATGATAATGATCGTTATAAATGATCGACGCCTTACCAGAGCAGTGTTTATAGCACATGACAGATGGATGGACGGACGCAGAAGTTACTTAAAAAGATAGCTTTCTGGTTGTTTACGTAGCACACATTACAATATGACATTATGATTTAGTCGCCGACAGTATTTTAACACAGTATATGAAAACTACTATTGTAATAGATATAAAATATCCATACGAATGTGACCAAGAACTAAAGTGTACTAAATAAATAAATTAAAAGTTAAGAACTTCTTGTTAAACTACCTAAAACACCAATAAGTATGGTAATAGTCGGACTTTTAGTAAATAAATATACATGATAAAACGAACAGGTACAAAAGGAATCACAGTGACATTTTAATTTTTTTTACATGTTATTTATTTTGTGTTTGGGAGTAGGACTCAAATTTTTAAGCAAATTGAACAGATATATTAAATGAAAAGATGCATAATAAAAGTTGCACACAATTGGAAGACAAAATACAAGTAGACTTTACCTGTGCTATTAATTAAAAAGTTGAACATTCATTCTGGCTTTAGTCACTTTTTTGTACGTCGTAGAACTCTAATTTTAAAATACATAGATCTGATATTAAAAATGTAAGAAATAATCTTATTAATAATAAGAACTTTGTCACGGTGTCTATCCTACATTACGATCGAAGAAGTAGAAAGTTTTAATAAATTTAATGGACTACAATTAATAAATCAATCAATTAATTATTAAATTTGTAAAATTATGCTTAGGTACGAAATAAGAAAATTTTGAAGAGATTTTCAAAAATGACTTTTCAGAAAATTATAGATATTTCAAACCTATTCATCAAAATAAAGTATAAAATGTAATAAGATTAATATGTCACAAAAGAAAATAGAGTTGAATCGTCACAACATAATGGAATAACGAATCTCTACACATGTTTCAATATTCTACTTAAAAGATGCTAATCTATGTAATCGATTTCGCGATCAGATATTCGACAAGTTATTCAATTATTCAATACTTACAGTTCTGATATAAACAGATATGGACCAACCATTAAAGTACACTATTTTCCTTATATTTCATTATATTGAAATAATCAGGAATCTCAAACTACGACTTTTGACACTATTGTATTATAATAATTTAAAAAAATCTACAAATTGTATTGATGAAATCAGTGTCAAATTATTCTGTAATATTAGTTTAAGTAATGTGAGAAGACTGTGATGATGTTAAAGTATGAATAATATGAAAATATTGTTAATTCAAGTGAAAATGTATATGGATAGTTGAATGTGTTGTCTTTAAACGAGTTTATAATAATGTTAGCAGTTGTATATAATAAAATATATATTTTAATTAGGAATAAGATCTTCGTTGCTTTCGTTTCTGAGAAACCAAGGGGAGGTAATTACCTCGTCCAAGTGTATTCACATATCAAATTTAATCTTCTCCTTCTTATTGTTTCTAAATAGATGCTTCTTAGAAGTAAAAAATAATTCGTAATTAATTTGCTCAATTTGAGAAGCAATTTTATTTGGTCTGATAATAATAGCACGTGTAGTTAACAGTGCGCGATAGGTGAAACAGAGAATTCAAACGTTTCCTTCGTAAGTAATCATTAAAATATGAACGAAGACTAAAGGATATACCATTAAGTACAATAATTAGCGTTACCGGGGTCAATTACATTAAGGAAACCGTTTAGCTTTGTGGTATATTACGTTCATTTGTTTTTGTCCTTTTAGGAGCAATTGAATTGAACTACGAGTACGTACTTACCTACTGTTCATTTTTTATAGTAGCTCCTTATTCAAATCAATTAACAAACTTAAATAACGATATAAAATAATAATGATTATGCTTTATCTGAAACAAATTTGAAAATAATTTACATACAAATAGGTACGTAGTGTTTAACTAACTACAAATAAATTAAAAATCCTAGGAACAAAATGAACTAGGTAGGCTACTATTTAAATCTCTGTAAACATCTTGTATTGGTTTAATGCACCTCATCAGACACAATCGCAGAAGTGTGCTTTGCTAATTATTAGTGATATAGGTATAAAGAAGTTGGGCCGTCTATTTCATTGTACGTAGGTACAGTCAATAACCGATCAAGTTATCCAAAAGTGTCATGTCTCGTCATGTCTCTATTGACTCTTAACTTTATATTTCTAAATTAACAACCGACGTGTTGACAAAATGTCAACTGTACATCAATATTACTTTAAAGTAATTATTACAATTATTAGATAACATAGATAAGGTCATAATACTGTACAAGACCTATGATTAAGTTCAAAATAGGCTTTTATGTCTTACTTAATACTACATTTATAGAAAAAGAAAGCTAAAACTATATAGATTAAGAAATAGTTAATCCCATTTCTTGTACTGTATAGTATACACATTTTTTTTATTAAAACAACACAATGCATAGTATATAGAAGAAATGCTTTTCAAATCTTTGTAATTAAAAATCAATTGTATAAAAAATTTGTTGTAAACACACGTATGACAGATTTGGATTGATTGTTGTAATTTTGAGGACAAGGTTTGCATAAAAAAAATGTAGGATATCCACAGTTTCTCATTTTCTTATTTTAATTTGCTTGCTTTTATATTTATTACCTTTATATAATCATTTTCGTTTAAAATTATTTTGTGTTAATTTAAACCCAAAAGATGTGTTTAATACATTTGAAAGTGGAATTACAGTGTCAACCGTATGATCCGTATGTGATTTTTTTATTTTGTATTGTTAATAAAATCATACCAATATTTGTAATAAATACCCAAATTTTAATAGTATTAATGTACCAAAAATATAAAAAGCTGTGCGGTGTTGTTTTAATAAACAAAATATAAACAAACTTAGGGGAACAATCTCAATGTGACTTCACTGTTTACCTTGCAATCTGTTTCTAAATAATGTATTGAATTTGTACGAGACAAAAACAAAGCATTTAACTTCGAATAATTTACATTCCATTTTATAATCTTAAGCCTAAGCCCTCAGTCCTAGAATGGTATGTTTGTTCTCAATATTGTAGTGCCTTGGACAGCTGTCAAACGATAGATTTACACTTAGCCATAATAATGTTTACATATAACTCAATCAGGCAGCGATATTCGTAATGCAAACGTATCTCTTATCATGTCATAATTCTTTTAAGTCATCAATAAAATTCTTTTTAACAGCATCTTATATGCCGTTTATTATGACATCAATAGCGCCCATACATGCCTTTCTACGCATTTTCTTTCAGGAAAATATTTTCTATTGTTCCTGTAACATTCTCGATTTACCTACTTAGCAAATAACTTAAACTACACGCAAAGCTACATAAAACTGTGTGTTTATTTGATACTCACTGTATGGATAACAGTTGGCATAGTGTAAATCTGCCGATCGTTAACAAGTCTAATTGTCCAGAGTCAAACGAGTGAGGCGCAAAATTATGTACCTAATTCAAGCATAGTTCATATCTACTTATGATAAATAAAAAAATATGATTTTAATCCTATGCAAATGCAAACTGATTAAATGTTATTTTATCTACTGACAAATCTCTTCGGTATTAAGAAGTCGTTAAAGATAAGTGATGTTGCTTTTTATACCTACATCATTTTTTATAAAATGAACAAACTATTGTAATTTTTAATAATCTTTGCTTTTTGTATTATATTTGATATTTTTTTTACATTTCATGACAATATTAATTTACGTATTTGAGGGACGCTTAAACCGGTTCGAAATTATGTTCTACTAGAAACTAGATTATAATTATATAGGTATTGATAGGTATCGGGTCTTTCAAGGGTTGGTCTTCGGTCAAAACTCGATCGGAGTTTTCAGTACTCTCTGTATGTTGATGTATGTTCAAGTATTAAGAAGGACTGAGGTTCTTGTCACTGTACCCTAAATTAGGGCTTTGTAATCTCTCTCACTTTACTTATTAGGGTTTTCAACCAATGTCTTCGGTTTGTGTTAATTTATATTAAACTCTATTTTTAAGTACGTTTGTGTTTCATTTTATTAGTTTTTCATTAAAATTTCTCATCAACTGGACTGGAACGAGAGATAATAGTAAGTATGTAGATGTGCTAGCTGTAAATTGTTTCGTCCGATCAACAGATAATTTCCAGATTTCTGGTCAAAATTAAGGCAATAATTCTCAGTATTAGGTATTCAAGTATGTATAGGTACTAACGCACTCTGGATACACATCCACATCAAGGATTATAAATATGTATGTAGGGGAACCTGTACTAATGTTGAAACTCCCACAATGAATCGCCACTTAATTCATGTGTTCACACTAAAATATAAAGAAATTCATAAATAAAATACAACGAACACGATATCTTTCTTTCTATTACCTATTTTTTGAATGCAAATCTTTAATCTTCAGGAGAATTATTATGAGTTTTACAAATGGCATTTTTGTTGTTCGTTTGATTGTCGCTTGTTCGCCATGCTAGTCATTATGAAATTGTTTATATTTAAACATGTTTATGTAACTTAATGTTACGTTTTATCGACATAATTAGAAAAATTTAACTAGCTTATAATAAAATGTTAGCAGAGTTTCGACTAAAATTCAACAAAACATCAAGTTTTAGTGTGCCGCCATTCTTTGCTTTAATCGCTAGTATGCCAAACACAATCAATTTAAAACCTTTTCTGTTGATTTAGAAACATTTTAATACATATTAATATTAAGCATTTTAAAGTCGTTTTATTTTGATACTTAAACCCTATTTAATAGCATTCTGGAACCATATTTAAGAGAAAACTAATAATGAATTTACTACACACAAACTAATGGAAATTTCCGCTTAAAGGGCCAATCATCATATTTATTTATGCTGAGTTTCTTCCCGGTTCTTCTCAGTAGAAGGTCTCCCACCATAGATTTGCGAACCGATGGCGTAGCTTTCCGACATTCACAAGTGCTTGTAACAGCCTAAGTAGTCTGAATAAACGATATTGATTTTGTTTTTTTTTTATTTTATATTTTTCTCCTATGTATGGCGTAAAGTTTGTATTGTTCAGACTAGATCCGTATTAAGAAGCGCATGTATGCAGCCACTCAAGAGGTTACAAACAGGATAAAACCCTATTTATCACAAGCAACTGCTGTTATAAATCGCAAACAGAACCTATTTAGTCTGTGAAGCGAACCACATGTACTTGTAGGAAAGCCAAAGGGGAAGATCTTCCTCCGAGCTGGGTGATGGTAGCTCGGGGGCCGCGGCCCGACTGATGTTGGTGAGGCATGCATATTGAGTGTTAGTCTCCGAATTTTACTTGCGCGATGTAGGCTTCCACACTTTGGGAGCGCCATTTCTTGAAGAGGCGAGTGATTATTTCCTCCATGTTGATTATATTTGGGGCATGTAGATGTCGCCGCCACATACTTACTAGTAGATATGATAATAAATAATACTTAGTAAGGCCGCATAATAATATGAGTAATGATGCACACACAAAAAGTGCACTGTTATAATTTACTTATCTCACATAAAATGGTCTGATATTGTTTTTTAATGTGACTCATATCTTTATTTTGAGCGTTGTGTGTCATGAATTGTTTAAGTGATTAATAAGTTAGCGATTTTTCCAATGACAACAGTTCATTAAAATACATATAAGTTAGTATACTTTCTTCATTTTTAGCGAATTTATACACCTATGTAGGTAATGCCGGTGTAAATTAAATACATAGACATATCTCGAGTCTCACTGACGATAATATCAGCAAAGGTTGGTTTTGAAATAATCTTTGATAGATTTTAAGTATCTCTATCTAGCCTGCATCAATCATCATCAAATAGAGATGATGACTTTTTTCTTCGTCTATCAGGTAAACTATCTATCAATTACATTAATTTGAAAAGTCGCATGACGTCTCGTCTTTGTACAATTATTACTTAGAAGTGACGTCAGGAGCACCACTCTTTAAACTTTGACGCGCTTTATCTTTGTTTTTTTATGGTTGATTGATGAAAGAAAAAATATTTATCCATTATCTTTTGATAATCTCACTATGACGGACTAAATAGAAATATCATAGTTCAATTGTTTTATAACTGTTCATTTACTTTTGCTCTGATGCTGAGTAATTAGTTCTTTATAATACTGACATAGGTATCTATTGGTTTTCTTTACTGTTTTTGGTCATTTTAAATTAACGCCCTTTTATTTCTATATTTTTAATTTTTATTAATATAATTACTAATGCAATCAATGCATTTTTGTCAACAAAGTGGTAGCTTATTGTTGCCCTTTTTGGAAAAGTCTGCTGAACTAGAGGCAACATATTCTTTTCAGCAAAGGCATTTTGAACTGCCTCTCGGTTATTGAATTTCCCTGCTAAGAAGCTATCCACATTTTGGAAAAAGTAGAAGTCTATAGGGGCAAGTTCTGGTAAGTACGGTGGTTGACGGAGAACTTCCAACCCCAGCTCTTGTAATATAACTTGGAGACTGTCTACTGTGCAGTATGAGGTCGCGCATTGTCAGTTGCAGGAGCAGCGGAGCCGAACGTTTTACCAAAGCTGGTTGAAGATGCGAGCTTCTCCATCATTGTGTTCAGTTCTTCACAGTACACATTTGCATTAATGTTTATCCTGTAAGAATCTGTGACGAATGACACCGGCGCCAGACCACCAAATAGTGGTCAAGCGTGGTGTTGTTTAGGTGCTGAACCAGGATTTTGCTGAGCGCTTGCGATTGTCGAAAAGAATCCATTTTTCGTCACAAGTGACAATGCGATTCAATATACCTTCAGTTTGTGTGCCTGTTGAGCAGTGCAAGACTTGACTCGAAGCGTACTTCACGCTGGCGATTATTCAATTCATGGGGCACTCATTTGTCAAGCTTTTTACCTTGCCAATTTGACGCAAATGGACCAATATTATTTTGGTGCTAGATTGAGAATCATCAGCTTTCACAATCGCCTTTAATTCGTAATTTTCGACTAAAGTTTACGGCCGACCACGGGGTTTATTTCTTAAATCGGAAGTTCCAGAACGGAAGCGGGCAAACCAATAACGGGTGGTGCGATCGTTAGTAATGTTCGCTCCGTACACGTGGTTGATGTTGCGTGCCGCTTCTGCCATTTTGCTGCCACGACGCTACTCGTACTCCATAATCACTAAAATTTTTAACGTATCCATGATGACGATAAACGTACGAGTACGCTGAAAACAGAACTCTAACCATTACACAGCTGACGAATATTCAAAAAATCATTCCATTTTTTAAAAATAAATATAAATTTGAACTTAGAATTCTTAGCAAAAAGGGTAAAACTGGACTTGAAATAGCCAATACGGCAGAACGGCAATTTCATAAGTAAAGACCTATTATTTACTATCAACACAAAAGTAAAGGTTGTTTTTGTATCAAACAAGAATACTAATTGTATAGTTCATTGTAGTTCAATATGAAATAGCCAGACAATCCTTGGTAGAGTGTGGTTACTATTTCCTCCATATTGTGGTGTTTCTTTAACTAGTTCGTCTTCAAAAGTTAAGGTAGAGCTGCAAGTGAAACTTTTTAAATCATTATTAATAAAAAGTCCTTACTCAGTTGCGAATTGAAAGCTTGCTACAATGTTTACTAGTTTCAACTTCATTTAACAACCCGGATACTATGGAATCCTAAATTAAGAGAGATTGTGATTCTTATAATCTCTAAGTTAATGTGACTCACTTATTATTTATCTGTATCTTGATAACTAAATCCTGAAAATTGCAAATAAGTAAGTACGTAAAGTCTAGGGTCAAGTGAGGGACAGTGTAACAGAGGAACAGTAACAGTGTAACTAAAGGAATAACTCTTTATTACACCCGACCATTTTACGTCTGAGATGGCGGCACACAAACTAATAAAGCATGCCAAGATAGACCATAGATAGACAAATGATGAGCTGGTGAACTAAACGCTATAATTAGGTAGGTACATAAAATTAAATTTCCCAGGAGCAGTAAAAAAGGAATGACATACCTACAGTGAGCTTTTGGCATGATTTGTAATTTAGTAATTTTGATACTATTTTAGGTGGTTTTGATTGACGAGAGTTGAAATTCAAATTCAACTGGCCCAGAAACTGCGGGCTGTAAAAAAACGTATTATATGGTCAAAACCATATGCGTAATTATACCGTTTTGTTCGCCAGCTCCTCAAATAAGAAAAGGGCACATGTATTCCTTATATTCACTGTGCCCCTTATTACACTGTTCTCTACTTGATCCTAGTATTCGATTTGTTTTTCGATGATAGGTACTTAAAAGATCACAGATAGTACTTTATTAAGATTACTACAGATTTAGACAATACTTATCTACTATTTATTATTATGACCTATCAGAGCGCCTCAGCGATGGAGCATTTGCTTATCGAACGAGAGTTTGATAAAATAGTGTGTCACCATAAGTAAATCAGTACTGAGTGTGTTCTATTGTAAGTGGTCGTATTTCAAATACACGTTTTTGTTTTTATGACATAAACAACAGCAACTTTTATTATTCTGGTAAGCCATTCTTTATTATTTACTAACATGACAACAATTTCATTGGGAAGGCATTGTAAACATAATTAAAAAAGTGAGCCATAGTATATCGGCGAACTCAATTGCAAGAAACCAAGAAAAATACAAGTTCATCTTTGAATTTCAACTGGACTCGTTAATTGGCAGCATTACAGTAACCATTTTATTAATATACTTAGAGTTACGATAAGACTATTAAGTACTATTACTTAAGAAAAACAATTTCTGGAAGGTACTTGCAGAGTTTATAGGACCTAGCGAATTATTATATGTATAAGCAAATATTTTTTTTTTGTTTTAACAAAAAATCTTCATATTATTTTAGCATTTGATTTAATTTGATTAAATTGGATTTTAAAGAGCTTGGAGTTCTTAAAAGGTCCAAGCAGTATTTCACGTCTAAGCAAAGGTTTCTGCTTTTCAAAGTGGAAATTAGGCCCCACATGTAGTATTGCTCACATTTCTGGACTGGAGCTCCCAAATACCAGTTGGATCCCCTTGATTCTATATAAAGACTCGCGATTCGGATTGTCGATGGTCCCAAGCTAGCAGATAATCTAGAACCTTTAGAAGTGCACAGGAACTATGCGTATGCGTATTCTACTTTCTACAGGCTCTTTCATGGTAAGTGGTCCGAGGAATTGTTAATACCCACAGCACTATTATACCTCCGCTCCACCCGTCATCGGGTTCGAGTTATATCAAAACTGATACTTGTGTTATAAAATGTTACTCTTGCTTCTCACCTCATTTTTTTTTACTGGACCTTCTAATATTCTTTCCGATCCTATCTATTAATTATTTTATTGTCCTCCCCTCCTTAATGCTGCTTTCTTTCTTTCAACCTCCCATTTTTATTTTAATGCTCCATTCTTACCCCTAGCTGTATCTTTAGCAGCCTCAGGTTGAAAGTGGTAGTTAGTCTTATCGAGGCTCGCTACTATGACTTATTAAATAAAACTATCGAAATACACATAACATCCAAATTGAACAATAGAATTTAAATTAAAAAAAACATCGGTTTGTATTATTACATGTGACATTGAATCTTAGCAGAGATATCTATTTTAATTTAGTGATAACAACACAATGTTGCAAGACGTTGACCCATCGCTTTTCTATTATAAACATAACCCCATAATAATCATGTTATTAGATATAAATTCAGTAATACAAAAATATAATGGAAATAACTAATTACAGACTGGTCTTAATGACTAACAACTTACAGTACCTATAGCCGATATAGCTACCGGTTATGTTATTAATACTGAATCATTTTCAATGTTTATTGCTGTCTCGTGCGAGTCTCGCTCGGTGTGCGTACAATGAAGTCACCGCATTGCTATATGGATCGGCGCCAAATCACCTATCTCACTCTACCGGAACTCGTTGGTTGAAACAGCAGCTAAAGTAACCTTCATTCAGTACGTCAAGACCAGCCGGCCATCCGGTTTGTTTAGTCCCATATCGTCGTTCATAAAACTATCTGTATTTTGTGTACAAAAATGTTTTGAAAACAACATATACAAAGTTAACTTATTTAAAAGTGAGTTGAGAATTAAAGTAGGTTGGTGTTGGTTAAAGATAAAATCAAATGGAATGTGAAGTGATGTGTATTAAAAGCATTTCTCAAGCATTTCTTTATAAGAAAAAATATGTGCACAAACTCTATTTCCAAAGTGTTTTAAATAATACCTGCTAAGCTAAGAGCATTGCTCTAAGCTGCTTAGGCATATTACGAACTGTTAAAGTTATTTGTAAATAATATAAGAAAATATTTTACGTGTTTTCCTTACATTAATGAATTTTTTTAGAAAAAGGAGTAAATCCCACTGTGTTTACACCTAAATAGGTGATTATTTTACCGGTCTGTGGGCTCCGAAGACCCAACGGGTTCGAATCCAGGTAGTGGCATTGTTTGTGTGACGAGAGAAGAAATGAACAAAACACGTTTTTGCTTGCTTTTTATGCGTCTTATTTATTTATTAGTAAATGTAAAAAAAAATAGTATAACTGACTTGTCAACTTCGGAATTTTATTAATTTTAGTATAATAAATATGTATGTCTAGTAAGTAAGTGATAACAATTTGTTTTGTTCTAGGATGCCGGCGTTGCGGCTCCTGGGCCGAAGATGGCTTTTCGCGTCCGACGATCTAGTTTTTCCATGTATAGCCGAAATTCCTGTTCGAATAATATGGTAAGGATTGAACTATTTTTCTAATCATCACAGAACAGAGGTTTCCTCTTTCTGTGTTCTGTGCTCCATACCTACTTCATTTTAAAGAATATTCAGAATAATTTAAGACTTTAGCGAAAAGCCTATTAACTTTTTGGCTGGGTGTTTCTAAAAATGAACTAATGACATGTTACTATAGTTTCCAACAGCTATCTTAGACCCGACGGCTTGGACCATCGAGATTATAATATTTTTGCCTATCTATTCAAATATTATGATAATTTTGTCTGTGTTTGGGTTTCGCAGATTTGATCTGTCCATCTCACAACTGATAGTGATTCCATACAATTTATTAAGATGATTTAATGAATGAATGAATTTATCAAAGACTTTAAAGTGAAATTAAATATTTTTTACTTCACAGGATAGTAGTGTTTTCGATTGTAGCGCGCGACGATTTGCCGATATCGTGCGCGTTCGACACATCCGCACGGCTGGACGTGATTTTAATGATAGCGGTGCAAGCGTTAACCGTACTCGTGCTGGTCGCCCTAGCGCAGCAATCGGCGCGAGGGTCCATGACAGACGTGGACAAAAGGAAATATGTGGGTCCTCTGCTGCTATGCAAGTGAGTCTTTATTGAAATATCGCTGTACGTGGTTATAATGACAGCGGTGCAAGCGTTGACTGTAGTCGTTTTGGTCGCCATAGCACAGCAATCGGCGCGAGGGTCCATGACAGACATGGACAAAAGGAAATATGTATGCAAGTGAGTCAATCAGCTCGAAATATCAGAGTTATTATGAAGAGAATTTCAAATAAAGAGAAACAATTTTTTTTTAAATGGGCGTTAGATATATTTAATTCCAGAAAAAATGCGTTCATTTGTAGTACTTAATTAAACATTTGTGATACGAACATATTTTAACGAGAAAAAATGGGAAACATGTGATAAAATGGTGAATTACTTGAAATTGAATAGGTAGGTGAGGTAGACAGTATAGGTTTAAAACACACAAAAACATTACTGTTTCCATAAGGATGGCTGAAAAATCGGAATTCCTATTCGTAAAAAGAGGTGGATATACGCAACTATCACTAACCCCGTTAGCGTTTTACATTGTCCTTTACCCAATTTAATATGAGGTCAGTAACCGCCACCGCACACCCCGCACCAGCCGAGCGCTCCCAAGGGAAATCCTGCCGCCGCAAGACGACGGAAAACCACCAGACTGACGACGGCCCCGCTCGTAATATATGTTATACAAAAAAAATATATATATATATATATAAATAAAAAAAAAAAAAAAAAAATCCTCCCTCACCCAAGTCCGCCGCCCGCTCGCAGGTCGCTCACTGGGCCTCCCCTAAGGGTCTCACCCGGTGGGCTAGACCGCGCCGAGGGCGGTGTGTGAAGAGTGTGGAGGACGGACCCCGATGACCGCTCCGTCCCGATGACGGAGTGCGAAACCGATACGACTGAAGTGGGCCATCCGGCCCAGAAGTTTCCCCGCACGCCGCGGCGCCTACGGCGCCGGCGACGCGCGAGAAGAAGATAGCGTATGAGGTCAGTGCCACATTAAATTGGGTAAAGGGCAGTTAAAAGCCAACTTTATTAAGATCAGAAGCTAAAAGCTTCATACTACTACATTGGCTTTAATAAATCTTTACCGCAACCTGAAAGATAGACACAGACTTAAAAAAAAGTGAACTATTGAAAAACTCGCGACTGTGTACATAATATAAAAAAAATGTTACAGATTATTTCTAATGGTAGTGGAGATAGTAACAAATCTATTGGGTATGTGGTGGATTTTCGTTGATAGAATCTCGTGCCGCTTGAACCCAAATCCCGACGTGATCATGCAAAGTAAGTTTTTTTTTATATTTGTTTTTTGAGTTTTCACGCAAACCACTCATTAAATATAAACAAATTTTCCAACGAGTTGAAAATGCGCTCACTTTTTACATCAAGGTATATTCCTTGACGACACAACCTGAAAAGGATGCGAAACGTCGAGTTATGTAAAATTAAAGTATTAAAAACGCAGTTTAGACCCGTTGGAAAATCTTTTTTAATAGGTTTTTATAAAGGATTCCTAAAAGTATAATTTAATTTTGCTAGAATATAAAATATAAATATTTCTTAATCCTTTATATTCTAACAAAACTAATTATATTCTTGTCGTCAGCTGTTGTGTCAACTATTAAAGAGATTTATGAATTGAAATGCAGTGAAACGAATAAAAGCATTAAATAATTATCTAAAGAAAATATTACTAGAAAAAAATGCACGCAGTCCACGCATCAGACGGAATTAGAGCCCGTACCTTCTGCAATCCGGGCGGACGCACTGATTTATTATGCTATTTGTAATCACTTCACCATACTACTACATTTTTATTGTTTTTGTATCTAAAGTTGTTGAGATTTTCGCTTGTTTTTCTCCACTACCAAAAAAAATTCTGCACGAGTAAAGTAAAAATCGAGCGATTCAGAGTTGTGTTTTACTAAAGAATATTTGATTTTGGCTTATATGACTCTTAATTTTATTACTTGTGTGATATAAAAGTTATGTTTTATAATTTTTCAACAGTTATACTGATCCTCATGTGGATACCTTTCATCTTAACTTTCCTGGCTATATACCTAGCGTACGACCCGTTGGGCAACATTGAGTATGAAAATATACGCACGGATGAGGAAAGGGAATATTATAATAAAAAATTGAAAAAAATATGGGCGAGCAGAGTCCAGTGGACATTCTGGTACTTTAAAGATAAAAAAATGAAAGATGCAGTGAATGAAATGGCAGGTAACAGTCTTAACTTTAATTTATTTATGCAAAAACTATTTAAACTATTCGCAATAGGTATATAAAAAAGATTCCAAAGCACGATAACATAATCACGATACTTAGGTACTTAGTGCGTTTGAGTAAGTATGGAGTTAGGTAGTTTAAATTAGTTACGAACAAAATACCTACATTGTTACTAAATAAATAAAAGAAAATTTAATGATACCCAAAAGAAGTCCTGCAAGGGACGTATTATTGCTTACAAAATAGGTATTTTAATTCGCTTCGCATTTGTTTTTTTACAAATACCTATTATTTCAAATAAGGTGAAATTCCATTCGATGCTTTACACTAGTCAAAACTGTGATTGATGGAATAATCCTATTATCTAATCTGTCGTCCAATGCGATGATTGGTAGTGCTTGGCAAAAATATGGATAATATTATTATTTTTAGAAGAATAGAGGGAAAACTCAAGCGGTAGGATAACCTACTTGATTTATACCTACTTCCTGTGCAAGGCAATACATTATTTAATATTCCTTGGATACCGCTCAGCTCAGCTATGTTGCATATTTAAGCAGTTTTAAATCGTGAACAACTATTCGTCTTATATGGGTTTAATGTCTAAATGGGCTACAAAATGTAAACGTCTTGTTATGTTTTTACTTTCAGTTCTCCTGAGTGTTCTTTTCAGATCTACGGACATCGTTCTTTACGACATGATTGCTGGATCAATCTTAATGAGAGTTCGGCAGAAGAGGGATACTAGGAACCGACGTGCTAGCGACGCACTGGACGCAGTCGATGAGGCATATACTACGGATCTAAACGAAGTATACAAAGATGTGCCCAGCTGGATGAACATAGCAGACGCTTACCATTACATGAGGCTTGCCACCTCTTCATATGGTTGGACTTACGTGTTGTACATGTTTTACTGCGCAGGTGTCTGTTTCTTGGCTCCGTATTTGAGGTGCTGCTGTTATCGGTAAGTTATCCATTGGAAATCTGACTTTAATATCAATATTAAAGCACACATCACATTTTCTCGTAGTTTATTTTAAATAAGAAAAGACTTCGGTAGTCATAAGACCAGGAATCTGATCTTGTTGTTAGCTACCATACCATTTCGAATAGTTTTTGGTTCGATGTAAAAGCCACCCGGCCAAGTAAAATAGACAAACTTACTGATTCCCAATTACAACACAGTTGCATACAGAAATAAATATTTCTGTGCAGGTGCGTATTAATCAAAGCGATACGTGCAACTAACTTTAAAAACCTTCATTTTGCTTTCATTTAATTATACCTTGCTCCTAGTTTGTCCAAAAGAAGTTGCCGACAGACAAATAAAACCAACCATTGTAGAATATAGGTTTTCTGTGTTTCCTTGTTTACTGTGTTGTGCAATAAATTATTCATTTCCGATAGGCCAAAGCATGTGGAAGGGGACAATTGTTGTATGTGCAACTATGCCGGACTAAAGTACTTATCCGATAAGACGGACAAGGACTTCATTTATGTTTCCTTCGTGAACCACATATACGAGGTAAAATCGCCTACCTAATCGGTAACTAGAATTATTTATTTTTATAATTTTCGCACATGTCCCATTGATTGATTCATATGTATGTTTAATACATCATTAAAAAGCTTATTAAACAAATAGACTTCTTAAAAGTAAACGGGATTTTATAAGTTCGAAGTTCGTGGGCTTTACAAAATCAAGACAGTCACTCAGTCACATGATCTAGTGATCATGCAGACTCAACTACTGACTGGGTACACAACTAAATAAAGATAAAAACACCAGTGACCAGCCGTCGCTTTAAACATATGTCGCTTTATTCCTATGTATGTTTAATACATCATTAAAAAGCGTATTAAACAAATAGACTTCTTAAAGGTAATCGGGATTTTATAAGTTCGAAGTTCGTGGGCTTTACAAAATCAAGACAGTCAGTCAGTCACATGATCTAGTGATCATGCAGACTCAACTACGGATTGGGTACACAACTAAAGATAAAAACACCAGTGACCAGCCGTCGCTTCACTTCGGTGCATATATACTAAAGTTTTGTATTAGTCTCTGGATTATACAATACCTACATAAAAACTTTCTAAGATATTTTTTCTCCCGGGAAAATGTTTTAGCAGATCCCGGCTTAAATACAGAACGGCCGCGGTGGTGGTAGTTGTATCTGCATTATCACTTAGATCAAAGACCTCGGTTGGCTGTTTGATTTTCTAAAGCCAACTTTATTAACAGAGCTTGAGAATCTTAAACATTGTAATGTTACAGGTACCATTCATGGTGGTGGCGGAACATGACCGCAAGCGCATCGTGGTGGCGATACGTGGGTCGAACTCTTTGCACGACATGTTCACTGACTTGACTGCCCCATGTGAAAAGTTTGAAGCTGAAGGTAAAAACTAACATTTTATCTTTAAATGTTGTACAAAGTTCTAAAGTCAAAGATCTGTAGTCAATATGGAACGCTAATATTTTCCCCGTGTAGGGTAGGTGTTTTAGTGAATGCATACACCCCAGTGAATGATCAAAAGTGTGTTTTTTCAATAAAATAAGAAAACTACAAATTTAGCAATTATATAAAAATAAGGGGGTGTTCGATTACTGGATCATAAAAATGAGAAATTCTAGATAATGAACGGATGTTCATTACCATGTTCCTGTCTGTTTTATTAGTTTAGGCTGATTTTACAATACAATACAAAACACTTAATTGAACACCACAGAAAACTTTACAATAAATACAGAGCCATTTAAATTAAGTGTTACACTGGGCGGCCTTATCGCTAAAAGCGATCTCTTCCATACAACCTTTAATTTACTTTAATACTTACTGTAAACGAAATTTCTTGATTTTGTGTAGGTTTAATAAATGATAAAATCTTTCTTTGGGCCAATGTTCGTACCACCATTTATCTAAACCCAAAAAAAAATTAAGTAATATTTCCAGGTTTATTACTGGTTATTTGGAACCAATAAATGAATTATTTGTTTCTTAGGTTTTCACGCACATCACTCATTAAATAAAACTAGTTTTTACGGGTTAATGCACGAAACTTTATTTATTTATTGACGTTTCGCAGCCTTTTCAGGTCTGCATCGTCAGAATAATGATTTTATTTAAAATTGTCGAGCTACCTTCGAAAGAATTATATTGTTGACAATAAATGAATTTTCTTTATTTTGTTAAATTTTAAGCATTCATCTTGGTATTACTTACAAAAATATTCAGACCTTCCATAATGTAAGGAATCATAAAGCAATAGGAATCATAATGAAATAATAAAAAAACATGATAACTAGAAATGCGAAATCAACAAAACTAACTTTCGACGAAGAAAAATGCAAGTAGACTGGACTTTACTAGAGCTTAACTTGGGTTCCTAATGCATCGGGAAGAAGTTTATGATACAGAGGAAATATTTTTGAATCGAGATAAAAGGGAGCTTAAATTTTTGCCGTGGATCGATATAGCTTTATTAAAACTCGGATTTCTGAACAATACGCTACGTTTTTTCACGCACGGTCATCTTTACTTGTTATAAAAAAGAAAAGAGCGGCCCTGCCATTCTTCGCGACTTGAGAATCTCGATGCTTTGGATAGGTTGCTGTGTGGTGTGACCTTGGCAATTTAGAGGTTATTAACAAACTCGAAATTGTCAATTACGCCATGATGATCGATGGTGAGTGTTCTCGGGATATTCTCACCCCTCTTTAAAGTTCCAAAATGACTTAAGGGTTCGTTCTTTGGTACCCTTACCCTACGCCCGTCTCTCTCGTACTGCGGACAGACCGCATATAAGCTTAGAGACTAAGTACTAGAAAATACAATCCTAATTAAATAAGCAACTAAAAAATATCACATGGTTGGTAAATATCTTTCTTTAAAGGTTCATATTTCCACTGCTGGGTAAAAACAGATTAGACTTACTTTATAAATTCTTCCGAATGAGGGCAAAATATTAACCATATTTTACATAATGCTTGACGATTACTTGAAAATTATCCCTGTTTAATAAATAACTAGTGTGTGCGGAAGTATAAAAACCAATATATTATTAGGTAATTGTTTTGTCTTAGCCTAGGTACTTATTTAATGTCGCATAATTTTATAAACGGCTATTAGCAACATAATGAGAAATCTGAAGTCCAAGGTCGAATTGTTGTTATTGAAACCAACCATAACATCAGCAAAAGTATAATTATCTTCGAATAAGTAGGCATTACCATGATTTTTTAAAGGTTCCGTAGCCCAGTACAGAAAAAACGGAACCCGTAGAGGATAATTTTGTTGTCAATATGTCTGTTTGTTTATCCGTCTGTCAAGACCTGCTTATGGTTTCGAGTCAACAAGGAATCCGTCTGCAGCTCAGCTCAAAGACTATTACTTAGAAGATACTAGAAATCTGTAAGATGCAATGGATATTAGGCATGCTGAACACAAGTGTATGTAACCTCTATATGTAATGTGGGGTTAAATGGCCAGTTTAGACTATAATAACAACCGTTGCAAAGTAACGGAACCAGATTATCCTTACCTTTTACTGGAGGTTGATTATTGAAACTGGCTGTTGATATTTTTTCTCATCTACCCCGTGGTAACATCCAGCGAGCGTCTCCATCATCCTATACTTCGCCTACTGAGCCGCGACTTGTGCTTACTTCACAGCCGCCATTAAATTAGAATCGCTTTATAACTACGGAGCCCTACATAGCATGTGACACATCACGCACTTGGCCATTTAATTTTCTAAAATTTTGAACAAACTTTGACAATTAGAATTTTACAATGTTTAAATTTATATAGAATAAATTTATTATTAATCCTAGAAGGATAATAATAACAAGGTCACTAAATCTATATTCTAATGTTTTTAAATCGATTTCAATATTTACAAAATTTGCCTTGTACGATATGAATTCTATTATTCTTGAAAAACTTGAATTTTCAATGTACTTACTATTTATGTTTTTTTTTGATTCATAGTTTTTGTTATATTTTATTAATATCTATATTAAGACACATGATGAACACGTGAAAAATCGAATAATCATTATAAAACGGGCAATTTCTTCGAGACTCGATTACCGCGATGATGAAACTTACGTGGTAACATACAATTTCTAGGAAACTTTTTTTTTGTAGGACTGCCAGCAAATACTCTCGCCCATAAAGGAATGGTATTGAGTACTGAGAAGACTCTAGAACGTGTCGCTCCGATTCTAGAAAGTTCTTTCGCGGAGTATCCAGATTACGAACTTGTCATCACAGGTACATTAACATGTAAAATACTCAATAAAAGAGGATTATTTTGAATGGTTTTATCAAATCTTAAGTTCACACCAGACTGCGTTGAAATAACACTTTTCTGTGGTGTTTTTTACTCCAGCAAATAAGTTAGATGTCTAATCTAACTTATTTGCTCTTATTAGAACTCGTCTACAGGGAGGTCTACCATTTTTGTTTACAAGGATGTGTACCAATTCTACCGCCTACCTACTATATTAATATAAAAACTGATTCTAATAATCAAATATTTCTTGTCTTCCAGTGAGTTGGTGTAACCTTATCTGAACACAGTAGTTACTAATAATCTTTTACAAGCTGTACTATCGTATCGCAACTCTTGATACACTTATTATTTGCCCACCTTTTGATTAGTTCCCGTGGCTATCTGTGGTCATCATCATTAATTTCGCGACACCAGAACCAAATGATACTTCCCTAGAGCAAAGAGACGAGTTACTATGAAAAAATACCCTAATTACCGCATGAGTAGTTAATATTTTACTCATGTGCATTTGTAATTACTATAGAAATTTGCATTGACATTTAATTTTAGGTCACAGTTTGGGGGCAGCTGTGTCAACATTGCTCGGAGTAAAATTAAAACATAAATACCCACATCTCAAAGTCTACGCGTTTTCAGCACCATGTAAGTAAATATTAATTACTATTTTATAACTTAACCACGCACCATAACCCTTTTAACGCCGGATATCGATAGCGCGCGCTAATTTCACGTCTGTTGAAAATCGCATAAATAATATTCGTTACCTACTACCACAACACAACTGCGAGTTGCGGTCTGGAAACAGTTTATCACCAGAATTTTGTATTCACATCCTTGCCTAAGGATGGAATAAGGGGAATGGACCATACCGGCGTGGTGCGGGCCAAATTGTACCCGTGCCGTGATAAACCGAGGAGGTAGTAAACAAACTCCAATTTTTATCGGATTGGATGGTTGCTACCGTTTGCCATAGTTTCGATTTTCATAATCGGTTATTTTAACTACTTTGAGATCAGAGTATCGTAGCGTATATAAAAGATCTCCTTAGAGATAAGCCCTCCTTTACTCATATTTTTGCTGTTATGTATAATATATTTTAGATGTGCATTAAAGAGAATTTATAATATTGTGCTTTTGTTTTTATCAGAAGATTTCGTCTTTTGTTCCAGCTGGACTGTTGACTCGCGAGGCGGCTCGTTACACGGAAAATTTCGTGATGACCGTAGGAGTCGGAGACGATCTAGTTATGAGGCTTAGCCTCAAGAGTATGCAGGCTTTTCGCGATAGAATTATAGAGACTATACACATAGCGAAATTGCCAAAGGTAACTAGCGTGTAACCAAACAGTTCCAAGATCTGTTTGCAGGAAATAAATGTTGCGAATTGTCCGTGTTTATTGTTAATTTTTTATTTATTATTTTCAGTATCGAATTTTACTGAAAGGACTTCGTTATATGCTATTTAATATACCCGACAGTGACTTAGATTCCATTTGGAAGCCCACTGATAATTTGGAGGCTCAGCTCGTGGGACCAGCCCGATTGACGAGGACGATCTCATATGTACGTATCTTTTATAAAACTAAATTAAAACAGTAAAAATTAAACCACAGTACGAATTTCTAGCACTGCACAAAAATGTATTGGATTGGAATACCAACAGATACAAAATAATTATAATAGATTAAGACCCTGTTCCACCATTTGCTGATAAAATGATGATTATAGACTATCCCGAAGTTATAATGACAGGTAAACTAAAAATTAAGGTTTCAAAAGTTATGAAAAGAAAAAATTGGTTGATATAGCAGAGCATAACGGCCAGAAATCTGTTAGAACGACATAATATTATGTCAATTAACTATCTAAAAATTGCTCAGGAACTGGTTAGCCTAATCCTAAAACAACTCAACTTACTTAGAATTCATCGAATCTGGTGTTGCCATCCAAAAACAATGCGTGAGATTGCCAGCTCTTTGCCCGTAGTAGTAACATTTGTATTCATAGTAAGACTTTGACTATCTCTGCGTGAAAGCTTAAAGGTGGTGCATTCTTGCACCCTTAGGTTTCTAGGATGGGCAATGCCTACTCTTGTTCACCCCTGCTACGCCCATGTTGATATTGTATGATTGACTTTGTTATAGGAATTGGAAAGATTGCACATAGCGGGCAGAATCCTCCACATCGTACGACATAAACCATTAGGCGTTGAAAGGCGAGTATCGAATTTTATCTACTACTAAAGTACATAAATGTGTTAATTGTGTTATTTACGCTTCTTTATATATATTTCTTTCCTATTATCCCAAGACAGATGAAATATAATGATAAGAAAGATGTTTGCTACGATCTCAAAAACTTCTTGGCGTATTTTCATATAGTTTTTAATAAATAAATTTTATCTTTAATACAGAAGTACTCGTAAGGAACCCAAGTACAAGGTGCGGTGGGCAACGGCGGAAGACTTCAACGAACTAGTAGTGATGCCACGCATGCTCATCGATCACATGCCGGAAAGCGTTCTAGAACCAATCAAGGTTGTTCTAGAAGAATGTCCGCTGAGCCAGGACACTGTTAATTCTTGTTCAGAGCTAACTCGCTAACTTCAGTTTTGCATTAAAGTCCATCCATACAACCCCAACTTACGTTTGCACAACGTGATTGCACATGCGAAGTTTGTTCGAAACGTAACGTTGGTTTTTATTTGGCTCGAAAATTGGTGCTATGTGGACGATAGGAGTTGTAGGTACTTTTGTGTATGCAACAGTTTGCACAGCACAAGTTTCATTCGTTTCAACCGGCTACGTATAGAATATGTTTAATTGTTTATAATTTGCAAATAATGTAAGTGAAAATGGAATTTTTGTATACTTAAGTGAGCACGCAACGATTTTTTCTGTAAGTATGTACCTTATTACTTAGCAAGTAAATCGCATACAAAGATCTGTGATAAGTTTTAATTAAGTCAAAGGTATTTATTCCTAAATCATCTGCAATGGAAAAACAACAATAAGTATGCCACATACAAATACTATTCTCTAAACGAGTATAGTGACGATTGAAAATATTTATACAATTGTTCAAATCATTCTAGTGCCTTGTTGTGCTTACAATATTGAGTTGAGTAGAATATACTAAGTTGAAAAATATATCATTACTGTACTGTACATATTTTACTGTCAAAGGAGAGTACCGTTTTTACCGAATTTTTACAAAATTTGTTTTTTTTTTATTGTAACGCGATGATTATATACAACAAAGAAGACTTTGATGTAATATATTTCTAGACCATGACCTTTATGACGAAGAATTTAAGGTTGAGCTTTTCTGCGTAATTTAATAATTATTTTTTTTATTCAACTTCACCACCTCAGCAATAAAGGTCATCTGCAGACTGAATAACAATGGCGAAAGCGTGCTTAGGAAAACAATTTCACTTATATGTATAATGATTGTTTACGAGAAAAGGGTGTATAAAATAATTACGTATAAGTACTGTGTATGATGTACACATTTTGTTGTAATACAATACATAGAATTGGCTGTGGAAATTCAAATATAGGTTATGATTTAATGTCACATTATTAATAATGAGCGCATTTATAAACATTTATTGTATATTTATTTCAGATCTTAACCCATTAAACACATTTACTTACAACACATTAGCTAATGAAAAATACCATTATGTATTCATAAAATTTTTGTTTTTTAATTGTCATTAAAATGCCATAGTTCTATAGCTATTTAATTTAACTAATTGTTTACACTATTGTGAGTGTAATGTCGTTTGCGTTGCGATGAAATCGTATTGCGGAATGTTGTTCTTTCTCATTTAGCATATCCCTTATGAAAATATTATCTAATCTAATAGTAATAAAAAACTAGTCGATTTCAACATAAGATACAGAACGTGAAAAAAAAACATGGTTACATAACAAAAAATACTGTAATGTTAGTGACCATGAAAGTTTAAAACAATATACTTATGAAAAAAGATGTTTATTAAATTAAATTACTAACCGATAGTTCTGTTGCCTAGATATATCTATTTTTTGATTAAAATAGCAACTGTTACTAAAAAACGGAACCAGACAAACCATTCACGGCCCATTTCAATAAACAAACTCCAGTGAGATAGTTAAGTTATTGGAAACAGAAGACTTCAAAAAATAAAATTTTATTTTAAAAGGGAACTATGCTCAGAATTGAGCAGAATCCGTGTGACTTGGGAATCGGTTTGGCCCGAGTTTAGATTTTTCCGAAAACTTTTACGAAAACTACTTTCTTTTTTTAATTTTAATTACAATGGAACTTATACGAATAAAATACATACTAGTCCGGGTTAGGTGAGTGTTCTGAATGTTTTTATAACATATTCGAACTGTTCTTAATATTCTTATAAAATATTTGCATTTACGTATAACTAAATTAGTTCTGTTCTCCTCCAACTTTAGGAATGATGTTTAGTATTTAGTGTTGATTAATTCAATAATTCTTTAAAATACAAATAAAATATTCGAAAGACAAATAACGACGTTTCTGTTCGCGATTTTTGTCGAACATTGTTGATATCTTTATAAAATTATGCAAATTGATTTTGTTATAAGTATATTAAATAGGTACTTGAAAGAGAGATAACGTTTTAGTTCGCGATTATGGTCGATGATTGCTTAATTCTTTTTAATTAAGCAAATTATTATATCTTAACTGTGGAAAAAAATATTTTAACTATTATCGTGATACGTATTCCGCGATTGGTGCCGGAAAAACACTACCGAATGGACAGATTGCTGGCAAGGATTTGTACTTACAATGCTTCCCGACCATGTTCTTGATGTCTTGCTGTTCCGAGCTGTTTGATTTATTTCTTCTCCGAAGATCCCGCCGCTACGATATAGAAATACCGACCGCTGCTTCGCGCCTTCCGATAATTCTTGATAGTTATAAGACACGAACACGAGATCCTACTGGCTGCGCCAGCCAAGTTGGTGGAAACAAAAAACTTCGAAAAATATTTTTTTATTTTAAAATATAATTACATTATATACTTTTTACTATGTTTAGGATTGAGCCTAATCTACATTGGGAATCGGAATCACGGCTCGCAGGACGCGACCTATATTCAATGATCTTACTTGATTGGTTGGTTTTCTTAGGTGACTATTATGTATTAGTTGGCCATTACTTGTATTGTACGTGACGCTGGATGTAAGGACATAATATAGATAGGCCTATTAGAGCTATGATGCCTAGATATTTCTTCTATTTTAACTATAGTAATAAATGTTGCTAAGAAACGGAAACGGAACTAGATTATACATTCCTTTTATATGTTATATTTTTACTGGAGGTTAATTATGGAAACTGGCCGTTACTGGAGCTTGATTATCGAAACTGTTCGATAAATTAACATTTCATGACATTTTGTATGTATTTCAAATAGTATGCTAATTATTGTGAGTAAAATGTACTTATTCATATTTGTACTTATGCTTTAAGATTATAATCTCGTTATTATTTCTCTACAATTAATTAGTAAGAAAAGAAATTGATATTACTATTTTAAGATAATCTATTATTACTGTATATGTAATAATATATTGTATATACATTTTCTAACGAATGGCCAGGAAAAATATTAATTGTGACGCTTTTGTATAAATAAAAAAAATATAAGAGTTTATTACTTTTATTTACAATAATATTAAGTATATAAAAATACATAAACCATTTATCAGTCGCAGTACATTATTTTGATATCACAGAAAAACATTGAAAAATTTATTACTATATATAAATAAAAACACCAATACATAAATATTTATCATCGTCAAATACATTAACAACATAACATTTTAGAAATATATCAAAACTCTAATTTATTTTAAAACGAAGATTATACCAACATACATAGAAATTTAAAATTTGGCATGCAGCACTTTAACTTAACTACGCTAATTAGGCTTAATTCTATGAGTTTAATAAATGAGCAGCAAATATATAGAAATCATGATATTAATATCAATATATTGGGTGCGTATCACCTGCAGAGGTTCCGCAGTTCTGTCATAGCGGCGTTGGATACCGATGTTTTGTTCTTTTCCGTTTTGTATCTGGAGAAAATGAGAAATAATATCTTTACAGTGCTCCTCAAATATATTGTAAATGACTTAAATACTTTTTAACTTGCGTAAAATTTGCGACGGAGTATCGATACATTGACACGTTATACACACGATGTCAAAAAAAATCAATCCTTTGCGAAAATAACTTATACAGCCGTTATCACCCACCAATCTGTACTGGGCCCGAGTGGTGGGTGGGTCATGGCCCAATCTCCATCCATAGGGAAGACCTGTACCAGTACCTCCTCTAACAGTATTAATAGATTATTGATAAATAATTGAACCTCAATAATGCTCAAACTTAAAAAAGTCTTATTTTGGCCAGCAATCGACTCATTAGCGCTAGTTACAATTAGATACCTAACTGTATCTATCTATCGGCCATAGAGGCCTCGCCGCTACGCCCCGCAAGAAGCACTAGACCTTCCATGAAGCTGGTTTGTACAAACATATATGGTGGCTTTTGGCTGAACTGAGACCTTAACTAAAGTTAGCTACCTGTCGAGGAAATGGTGCGCGACGTCGGGTCGATAGGCAGCCATGTCGCGTACGTACGCTTGGTCGTTGGACAACGCGCGTCTGTACGCCAGTTCGCGCCACGCCTCACCGCTACGCCCCGCAAGAAGCACTAGACCTTCCATGAAGCTAGTGAGTACAAAAAAAAATCTTTTAAATTTGACATCAGAACTAAAGTACACTCTCAGAGATAATAGATTAACGAAAAGATTTCGAAACAAAGTATTACCCAACGCAAAATTATGAGTGGCGCTTAGGCAGGTTGTATTTGACATTAGATCGCTTTTTGATTCGTTATCGTAAAGGTAATCAAGGTCATGGACTTATTATATATAACAGGGCTGTATAGAAGTAAAAATAATATTTTAGAAAATTGACCTTGTCTGTTAAGCAATAAAGTTCATTTCACGTCGTACTTAGTCGTTTACCCGAATTCCATTGGCACTCGCATTCGGGCTAACGAGTAAGTGTAATCGCCCCATGAATTATAGAAGTGGTAAGTATGGTGGATGTGGTCTAAAGTAAAGGTAAGTTAATCTAATATTAGTGTTATTCTAAAGTAAATAAAATACAATTGTTACGGAACACTTATTGGATCACTTTGTTGTCCGTCTGTCCATCTATCTATCAAGCGAGACCCTTTGTTCCGGGAACGCGTGGAGATATCTATTTTCCCCAGTATTTCTTAGGATGCAAGGCCAATTGAAAAGAAGTTGAAGAAGAAGAAGAAGGCCATTATGGGTTACCCTCATATGAAGATCTACAGTCCCTTAAAGCTACAAAAAAATCTAACTTCTAAATTGATTACAGCGGCGCGCGATCCGCATCATAGGCGATGAGGAGGTGACTAAACACCTTGAGCCTCTTCAATTACGCCGTGACTTGGCGTCACTAAGCGCGTTCTATCGTCTGTACCACGGCGAGTATTCTGAGGAGTTATTCTCACTTATTCCACCTTCCCCTTTCCTTCATAGGACCACGCGCGCTGGCCTACGTTGTCACCGTTTAACTGTGGCCACAATTCCAACGCGTACAAAGAAATTTGGTGACTCATTTCTTTGTCGCACTATCCGTAACTGGAATGCTCTGCCCGCTCACGTGTTGCCTCCCTCTTACAACCTGGTATCTTTTAAAAGAGGCGTGAAGAAGCAACATGCAGGCCGGCAGGGTGAGGATGGCTGGTGCGGCAGGTAGAACTGCTGTATCAGCTATCTTCCCGTCTGGACTTCACCTTCACTTAACATCAGGTGGGGTGCAGCCATTTGTCGGACCTATCTATAAAAAAAATGACGCATAAAAACACAATTTTCCAAGTCCATGATCAAGGTAACCAAATTGACGTTACAAGTCATACAAAGGTATCCAATTTGACGTTTGTATGTACGCACGCTATAGTATGGTTCATAGCAACATATATTTGTCCCTGTTTATGTCTGTATGTAAAAATAAAATATGTATAGACTTTATCCCCTTTATTAATAAACAAAGAATAAGCTTCGATTAGTAACTCCATGTTTTGCCTCTGTTAATTGAACGGCAAATGTCATTTAAGTGACATGAATAGAACACGACGTAACTAGTCTAAGCTTATTCCTTGTTTATAATAAGGGGGTATGAGTTGAATTTCTATGCTTCAGTTATTGTTACGTAGGTGTGAATAAAATTGATGCTGTCACTTTATTTAGGATAACAATAGAAAGCGGCACGGAATGAAGCATTAATGTAATTTGACATTCATTCACTCCATGATCATGGACTAGGCTTTGAAGTTAGAGCAAGTCGCAGCGCAGGAAAGAGGATCCTATAGGTGCGTTATGTCATTGAACTGGAACCTGCGCATAGTTGCGCTCTCGCTACTAACTTCACAACCGCCATAAGGTTTGGATTGCATTATACTTGGTACTTTCAAAAAATCGAAATTGTTTGCGCTCAATGTCGATATTTAATTTTTAATTCTGATAAAAGCTCCCCTAAGGAACAGTGCGATCAGGATCATAATGTGAATGACAGTTCAGGGAGGGGCCAATGTCTACGTAAATGACATACAAAATATGACATTTAAAAAGACACCGGCGTTAGTTCCGATTTCCCCCACATTCATTAAGAACCTTGACGCACTGTACTCGCTGACGAGCTTGTACAACTGCTGTTCAGTATGAGCCTAGTAGGCGGGGCGTTTAGCAGGGACATCTGTAACGCAACTTGCTGCGCCAGTGCTACTATCTCTCCCGCAAACCATCCAACATTCTTATCCCTCTCTACTATTTAAAGAGAGAGTTCGTGCCGCAAGAAGTTAACGCGTTCGGTCTGCAATCGTGGCAGAGTTTCGCATTCACCGGTAATCCGATGGGTGACCAAAAATTATAATCTGGATCTCTTCTCTGCTTCGGAAGGCACGATAATTCATCGGTTCTGGCTGCTTCTGCAGTCGTTAGCCGCAGTGCACTTGCAGTGTGGGTCATGACCCAATCTCCCTATTTCATCCACAAGGAAGGCCATTACCTAACAAGTGAGGACATTAAAAGACTGATGGTGTGTCCTATTTTTATCAGTAATAAACTCACCTAAGGTACTCGCTGACGAGCTTGTACAACTGCTCCGTGCTCCTGTTCAGTATGAGCCTAGTAGGTGAGGCGTTCAGTAGCGACATCTGTAACGCAACTTGCTGCGCCAGTGCTGCCATCTCGCCCGCAAACCCCGTGCACCCCCCTTGCAGATACAACTCGGCTGCGTCCGTGCAATGTTCTATTGCCGTCTCTAATAAAGACCTGAAAATGATGATTAACTGAATTTATTGAAACAGAAGAAAATCGGATCCCTCATAGGAGCACGTTCGTCTGTCAAGTCTTCTTTTCTCCGGAAAGTGTAGAAGTATAAAGCGGAAATTAATGTTAAATAGATCTGCGGTCCCTTCTATACACGAAGACAAATCAAACTTTAAAGTCAATGCATTCAAAAGATACGACCGTTTATGCCCCATATTTTGGCACTCGCAGAGGAATTCAAACCTATACTGTACTAGGCATGTGCTACGTGGCATTACTTATACTAGAATAAACAATGCTATGTACTACAAGTAAGGGAATAAATATGAAAAGCGCATTTTTTTTGATAAATCACAAAAATATAATTTCTTTGCCGATTATTATTATTGTCGCTATATAATGTGGTAGATGTTTGTTTACAAATGTTTCTTAATGAGTACTACACATATACAAATTTGGAAATAAATCCATAAAAATTGTAATATAGCTACTGCTACCTACAACCCAATAAACATTTAGGCGTCAATTAGAGCTTGTTTTAGAACTGACCGAGATATAAAGGCGCTACAGCAGCAGCACTTACAACTTTTGGCGACAAAAGAGCGTAAACAAGCAAAATATTTCACGTAGAGCTATACCACAGAATTACAAGGGTGATAACAGGGTGAGTTTAAAGGTTAAAGACATACAGCAGCATTTTTTAACTCTACAATATGGGCAAAGCATCTTGTGTTATAGCTTTAAGTGAATCTTACAACTATAAGATCTAAATAAGAAGTGAGCATTGACTACAACCCCCCAAAGTGCTATGCAAGCGATAATAAACTCTCGCCAAGAACCAAAAGTTGCACAAAAGCAATAATTACCACTACCAGTTCCACAATGGTGCTCATAAATTCTTTTGTACCACCAAATGCCTAAAGAGGTACAAAATGCTCTTAAGTTACTAAAAGTCGAACAGCAGAAACATTCTTCGCTATGATAGAACTTCTAGTGGTTATTGTGACTTCTGTATAACTTTAGGTAGAGTAATAGAGCTTAATACCACTTCTGTACCCCTCATTCGTTTACTTGTTGTTGATAGTAATGTACTGGCGACGCAACTAAAAAAAGGTTAGAAAACCATAAGAAAACACGGTTTAATTGAAGTATTTTGCTTCATTGTGTTCTAACACTACTAGCACAATACCTTAAACTAGAATAGGCAACGTTTTATTAGATTATTACAAAAGTTTTATGTTACTCCATATCTAATAAAATATTTCTTTTCAGTAAATAGACAACAGACATCGGGCTCTTGAATAATTTGTTAATAATACATATACTTATTCACAGTGTACTTACCTTCGCAGTAAAAAGTCAACTTCTGTGTCCACTAGGTTGAAACTAAAAGATTACACTTTTAATTTCATTTTCACAAACGAATGGCGGCGTTTTGGATGCGACAAATACTAACATACGCACTGTTCGCACATAAAAACGAGAGGTTAAATTATGTTGACGAAATAAAAAAATAGTCTTAGAAGTTAAAAAGGTTAGCACCTGAAGTCCTTTTTATAGCTTTTGTGCGTCTATATTAGAGTTCAAAGCGGTAATAATCACCTACTTGCCACTCTCTTATCACTTAAAAATATAGTGAGCGACATTTTAGTTCTACCATTCCACTTAGGGAGTTAGTATTACCTATTTGCAGCCCTTTTAGCACCCAAAGGGTTAATAAACGATATTTTATTCTATTGTACCACTAAGGGAGTGAATTTTCGCCTATTTATCACGTTTTTATCCCTTGTAGTTTCAGTTATCGCTATTATAGCTCTCTTATTGCTTTATTATACCTCTTAACCTATTCTGTAACTCTTATTTACCGCAATTAAACAACCTAAGGTGATAAAAAAAGTGTGCCCATTTCGGGGGTATAGTAGAGATATAGCGCGCTCTAACTCCGAATGGGTAACACTTATTTATAACTTTAGGATCTGGTTAGCTCTTTAATAGATTTACTATAACTCTTGTCTTAGCGCCTAAGTGTTAGTTGGGAAGTGCAGGATGCTTCCCCAGAGACGACAAATACCATTATAGGTATAAGTAAATGTATTTATGAATGTTAGGATTTAATGAAAATATATCCTAGTATGAAGAAATAAGGTTTAGTTTACCTTGTCATCACACTATCGTGTATCTGTAGCCACATCGGCGGCTGAAAGGGTCTTTTCGAAGTCGCCTTTGCCGCATCGAGTGCCATTTTCTCCAAATCTTCAATCAAAGACAACGCCTGTTTCTTTTTCACGTTGGCGGCTTCGGCGTACATATTGAAGTGAAGCGCGACCATTATGTAGGTGTCTGTGTCGCCGGGACAATGATTCTTGAGGAAGTCCAACAAGCCCTGCTTGAATTCCGCGATTTTGTCTGGCTGCTGGCCAAGCATGTAGTCGAATTGACCCAGCAAGAACTCGAATTGATGATTGTCACGCAGAGCCTGTAGAAATGCATTTTGTGATTCACTGCATTTTTATGTGGTTCTTTCTTTTTTATATACAGTAAACCCCGTTTAAGAAGATATCACAGGGACTCAACCAAAAACGCGTTTTAAGCGGAAAAGCGTAGTATGCGGGATTGCGGGTTAGGGAAATTTCGAATGTAGGTATTGAGGTATGAATAATAATAATAATATAATAATAACATTCATCCATAATGGTTAGTAACAATGATGCTTACAAAATTAAATCTAATTAAATGTTCAATATTTAAGAATTATGTATGCTATAAAAAATTAAGTGTATTATTATCACGTTTGTATTTAAATAAATCACTTATTTTATTTTGTGAAAAAGATTTCGAAGCATTAGCTATTACAAAATTTTGACATAGTTTAACTTTTGCAGTGCGTCGTCGCTTTGATTCAAAGAAGTTACACAGCATCTTAAATCATTAACTGCTGATAATGCCTCGACGTGTGATAAAATCGGAGTTGACTCATCTTTTTCTTGATCATTATCACTTAGGGCCTCTTCTTGTGTGTTATTCACATTCTCAATAAGATCTTCAATTTATTAAATTTGGGACGGTGCCACATTGTCATCAATGGAAGAATATCCAGGAAAACCCTGGGGGTGGCTTAGCGTGCGTCGCTCAACAGTCGTCACGTCAATCGCTAGCCACTGCCGCAAGAGGTAATATATGTGGTACGTGTTGACGATATAGGCGTATTAAACGGGATGACGAATCGTATTAAGTGTTAAGAAATGTATGAAAACGTGTCTCAAGTTGTAGGGACTGACGCAAAATGGCGTATTAAGCGAGAAATCGTATTAAGCGTGATCGTATTAAACGGGTTCTACTGTATATATATAAGTATTCTTTTCTTGGGGAGCTCGATGGCGCAGGTGATTGGCGTATTCGGTCTGCGATTGTGAAAGTAATACCTTTCATAATGGCTGGTCATTGGATAGATGACCAAAAACTTACTATCTCCAATTCCTTCGTGCTCTAAAAGGCACGACAAGCTGTTGGTCCCTGCTGCATCTGCAATCGTTACCACCCACCGTACCGGACTGGGTCTGAGTAAGGGGTGGGCATAGGGAAGGCCTTTGCCCCATTAGTGGGGACGTAAATAGGCTGACGACGTATCAGTCACAATTCCTTTTTAAATTATTAACAAATTACGAAGGGGTGCGTTACTTACCTAAAAAACGTACGCGCATTCCGTCTATCACGCCAGGCCAATGAATAGACGCACCTAGGGATGATCAATATTCATCGATGTTGAAAAAAAAACAATGTTTAGCTAAAAAACATCGATGTTTGAGTATAAAATATGTGAACGTCAAAAACCCTGTAAAACCCACAATACACCGGTCACCCAACACGCACTCTGAGCATCGAGGTACCCGAATGCGTGCCGAGAGTGCGGGTATTGCCGCGGAATCGTGTGCGTTAACAACAATGACTTACCTGGAACACGTACGCGCATTCCGTATATCACGCTCGACCAGGGCTCAGTGAAATGAGCAATGCCCTACCCAGTAAAACCCACATTACACCGGTCACCCAACACCCACTCTGAGCATCGAGGTCCCCGAATGCGTGCCGAGAGTGCGGGTATAGCCGCGAGATCATGTGCGTTAACAACAATGACTTACCTGGAACACGTACGCGCATTCTGTATATCTCGCTAGGCCGGTAAGTAGGCGCACCATAAGCCTCCACGAGCGAGCGGCCAGCAGTTGGCCGGTAAGCGCTTGCGCAGAACGCAGCGTCACCGCCACGCCTTCTGTATCGCAAGCGCACGAAAAGCATTCGTGCGCCAATACTAGCAACTCGATCGATATAATGTTCACCTGGCAATATTCATTAAATTATCTATACATATAATAAAATGGTAGGAAAGTCAAAACTTTGAATATTTTTTTTAAATAATACTTGGGGTGTGATCTACAATCGATACCGAAGCCAAATATATAGTTTTTAGATTTTTTGTCTGTTTGTCTGCATGTATGTCCGGGATAAACTCAAAAACTACTGCATAGATTTACTTCCAATTTGGCACGAATATTATTAAGAAGTCGGGCCAACATATAGGCTACATATTATCACGCTATCACCTACGGGGAACGAGCAGTGAACCTTTATTTCTAACTCCACGCGTACGAAGTCGCGGGCGGCCGCTAGTAATTTAATATAATTATTCCCGATGAGGGTTTTCTGGGATGACGGACGCCAGGTGGCAGCAATGAGGTCTACTTATCCGCTAAATGAAATGTGTTGTCATAGTCTATGGATCAATTTAAATGCACGTTCGATTAATTCGCGCCAAACAACTTCATACAAAAGACCTCTTGTAAAAGTGGCGTAAAGTAAAGTCCAACTAGTTACGTAAATTTTCCTGAACACTCTCATTCGAGGATCTGTATTACTCCATTCGTATAATTTCATAAAGTGTTGGTGGAACTGTGCGGGGATCAAAACTAGAAATCAAATAACTTTGTGTAGTATTAGCCTATAGCCTTGAATACAATGACTCGCTTATAAAAGACTTCAACTACAGGTGAATGTTAGTAAGTGGCAGCACATTCCTTTGAACACTTTATATATTGACAGTGGAAAAGCAAAATCGCTTATATACTACTTTTGTGCCGCTTAAAATTTAACATTAAGATAAAAGCAGCACCAAAGTGGCGTTTAAGAGATTTCGCTTTTCCACTGTCGAATTATATTTAAAATAGTACCTGTTTTGTAGACAATTTAGCGCCTTTCGTTATCTTCCTGATGTTAGATTTGACCTCGTATCTTATGTGTACATTGCTCTTCGTTATAACATCGAAGAGATTTCTCCTCGAGTCACGTGTCATTTTGTTCCCAACGGTGTAGACACTGGATACGGAATAAACAGACTCTGTGTCAGCCGACATTAGAGTTCCTTCCTCGGTTAAAACCGACTCTACTTCGCCAGTTTCCACGTTCTGATACTCTTCGTCTATCAATGTTTCGACATCGAGACAGCTGTCGTCCAAAGTGTTTTCTGGAATCTTCGAGGAGTTGGTTGCTTTATAAATCTTTTGAAATGCCATTAGATGATCCAGCATGAGCCTACCTATGTGGCTACACGCATCTGGGCGCATGTTCAGAAACATCTCCACGTCAGAACTGAGCGTGTAACCCCATAACGTATATTGGAAATGCTCTTTCTGTCTAAATGTCGAAGTCTTCACCAAATGTGGAGATATTATAGCAGCAACCATTTCCGAACACAAGTACTCTGCAACCTAATAAACAAGTTAATGTAAGGTTATACAATAAAACAAGGAAATAAGGTTCTTTGTTTTTATGATAACATACTTGTTTCGATGGGATGTTGAACGTTTTGAAGACCAGATTTGCTAGTGACATACGCGCTCTACCACTAACTAGGTTAATGAAATCAACGGAACGATGCTGGTACTTCAGAACCGATACGTAGTCCCAGCCTATTTGTAAAGCTATACGAAAGTAGCTAGCAACCTGTAAATAAATATTTAAGAACCGTGATTAATCCTAATCAAGAATATCCTAAGAGTAAGCTTAGTATTGATTTGAAAACATTGCGAATTTTCTCCGGGAAAAGACATTTTGTAAAATTGTGAACAGAAATAAAAAGGTTAAGTGCACGCTTACAATGTTTATATCCGCATGTTTATAAGTATCACATATATACCTGTTTTGCAAGTGTTAGTCCACTTCGCACAGCGAGGGCATCCAACGCAGATAGGCGATCAGCTTCTTCCCTGGCAGCTAAATGCGCACTCTCAGGAATATTAATATCTTGTTTTTCCTGTATAACCACTAGTTCTTCGAAGCTGACGTCTGAGGTGCCTGAAACTAAAAAACAGATTAGTATCAAATATACGATTGCATTAGCACTGCTTTCAGATAGTTCTAGGCCATCTATTTCAATAAAAAAAAAATAAGCAGTTAGAATGCTTTTTTTCAGCGTTATTTTTAGGACACAACCATCTATCTATAGTGTTGACTAGAGTTTAAGTCATATCAATAATTTCAATTAAATTCAAATAGGTATGATAACACAAAATTTTTGTTGTCAAACAGGTGTAAAAAAAGTAAAAATCAAAATTGGTGAAATCACGATTATTATATATTGGATTTGCAAGTAAATCAATAAAAAAAGAATAACAAACGTTCTTACTGGTAAGCTTATTTTGAAGAGTAGGTGATGAAATAACCAAGCGCAATTCTTGTGGCAATTCGTATGGAGAGCACGAGCCTTCAGCAAGCTTCAAACAAGTTCTTATTATTTGGACTGGGCAGCACGGATAGCGATAACGATATTCCGGGGGCGTCTTAAAGAGAGCTGATAGACGAAAAGCATCAACTAGTAATCTCAACTCAAGCAGTTGCCCAATTGCTTTTCTCCAGTTATCAATGGCCTCTGGATCTTCAAGCAACATTATATCCTCGATGTTACCTACATCAGAATCAACCTCTATCTCTCCAATAGCCATTGAGAAAGGTTTTGCGGCATTGATGATGCCAATTTTCTTTGATATTGTCTGATCTTTCTGTCCATTAAGTATAAAATGTATTGTGCTATGGTAGCCATTTAGAAATACGTCATTATTTGGTTCACATACAAAATACGCGTCCCACATTCTGTGTTCGATTTGTTCTCTTTGTAGACCATACTCGTGGTTCTCATGAAACCAGCTCATAATAATTCTATATGCGTAAAACTTTTGAATGGCCTCTGTTATATTTTCAGTATAATGCACCAGGAATTCTGTGGCTTCCTTAAAACACACGCTAGCTTTCTTAAAAGCTTCACTGCATTGTGCTATGAACAGTGTCAATTCTTTTTCATCCAAAACAGCATCTTCTTTGTTTACTAACATTTGATATTTGTGTGTCCATTCGGATTTTAATATATCGTTTACGGGCAAATGAGCAAGTTTTGCAATTTCAAACGCCACGTCGTAATTTCTGTTGATAGTGTACCGCTCTATACATTCGGCTAAATAGTCGTTTGAGTCTTCTTGGAGCATTTTGGAAATATCAACTACTAATGATGTTTCCATTGATATTTGGAGAATCTTATATAAATCAATGAAGTTCGGAGTGGGTACTGCAAATAATAAATATTTTGTCTGAACAAACTACAGCAATCGATTAAAACAAAATTAGTCTGTAGTATTTAAATATTAACAAATAACCGGCCAAGGGCGAGTCGGACTCGCGCACCGAGGGTTCCGTACAAACTCAATGTAATACATCTACGCCTTCATGAGAAAAGAGGTAGTACCTTAAAAAAAAAAATTTTTTTATTATATTGATGTAACTAAAATTTTACGGTTTTCGCAATTTTTCCTTTATCTGCACTATAAGACGTTACTTCGCACCAAATTCTAAGTTCACGGGAAGTACCCTGTAGTTTTGATTCCCTTGCGAGTTTCGAAATTTTGCGGAAATTTGCGGCACAATCGGCTGTATCTTTTGATTGCTTTGGCTTAGAAGTTTGATTTTTTCCTGACCTGAGTATTAGATATGAATTTCAGTTTGATACCTCCACGCATTCCTGAGAAAACCGGTCTTGACAGACGGACGGACGGAGAACAAAGTGATCCTATAAGGGCTCCGTTTTTTCCTTTAGAGGTACGGAACCCTAAAAAATGTGTATACTCTATTTTAATAATTTTAAAAATACTTCACTGATTTTTAAAACGATTTGCCTTACCATTTATAGATTTTTCAAATTCGGCCTCTGCCAAGCACCGAAGGAACTCCCTCTGGTGGTAAGCGCTATCGAAGCTCTGACTCATGGTTATTTTAACAAGCGCTACTGCCACTCTTTGCAGAGCTTCCTTGGACAGTTGCCACGTCACATTCGAGGATTCGACGCTGTACCTACGCTGACAATGGTGTAGAAAGCTGTTTAGGAGCCGTACAGTTTCACAGTCGAAGTTACGATTGCGAATGGACCGATAAAGAAATGACGTGAGAAGAGTCAAGGGGCTATCCTAGAAAAAAATATTAATTTTGATAAAAATGTTAATCACTTCATCATCCCCCATTCTACAACTTATAACTTACCGGCATAAATATAAGCATTGAATCGTGCAAAGTCGATACATAGCCCTCTCGAAGACACAGTTCAGCGACACGTTGAAACTCATCAGCTGTAACAGCTTGTTGATTCATTTCCGACTGAATGAAGTCGTGCACGTCAACCGTTTGGCCTAGGGAGGATAACACCCATTGCACCCAGAGAATGCCAATTGCATTTGGCTGTAAACAAAGGTGAGTATGAGGATATACAAAGCAAGGTTCAAAATAACTAAAACTCTGGTCAATATTATTCCTCGGCGCAAAGACAAGCAAGCTCCTTTGTATGCAAGTGTTCAAGAATAAAACTTACTTCATAGCAACTGGCAATGAGCACCAGTAACGGCTCTCGGTATAGTTCAGCGGCTCGTAAGAGAGCAGCGGGAGGATCTTCAGGGCCGTGACATGACGCCGCCACCTCCCACAACTCACGCCCCATATGTAAACTGGGAAACTCGAAAGAACACTGCGAGCTTTGTGGACTCTGGAACAAAATTTATTAAGTCAAATCTTTAGCCACAAACCCCATAATTCAAAGAAATAAAAAGATTTACAAAATTTAGTCAAGACTCTCAACAATACGTTGCAGCAATTCTATTGCAAATCGAAATTTTGCCAACTATAATTAAAAAAGATTCTTACAAATTCCACTGAATGCAGTCTTGTGGGTTTCCTCTGTCCATTACTAGAGTTAGATTTACTATCTTTATCAGCTGGTTCTTCAGAATTTTTATGAAGCATTATATGTTTTAAGTGTTCCGCATAAGATCTATTTTGAAATTCGTGAGATAACTGCAACATTTGGGCCAAAGGGTAACGAAACACATCGCCGTAAAGTAGAAAATTAAACCAAGAGTCCGACTTTATAAACTCCTTCAGTTGCTTTTCTGGCAAAGGCAAATTATGTAACACTGCAAACTTTACTACAGTTTGAGATTCATATAAAACTACCGACATATCGACCTTTCCATCTAACTCTTGTTTTTCTTTGAGTTTCACCATTGTTGCTTCTTCTAGGTAATCTAATATTTCTTTGGCAGCATCATCGTCGCTCTGAATCAGCTTATACATATATTCACCGATTACTTTGTTGGTTTTATCTAATTGCATGTTCTTGTATGTCATCAAGTAATCTTTTAATATTTTCGCAACCGACATGTGCACCCTACACCTGGATGAATTACATCCAATCATTGCAATAAAGGATATACAACACGCCGTCATGGCTGGATCAGACCAATTTTGAAGTGCTAATGCATGAGCTTCGCAACAAGCACTTTTTATGCATTTTTCTTGAAGGCGATTGTACATTAGATATTGCTGTTCGACAAACGCTTGACTAGCATTACAGGGGCGATATTGCTTCAAATAGTACACATGATTTAATTTAGCTACATAACCATATCTTTTCATTAGCTTTTTATCAGCGAAATCTGGCATGTCCATCGGTTTCTGGATCAGTGATTTCATACCAGCAGTATTAACATTAACTTCACTAGATAAAAGACTACCGAGACTACGTCTTTCTGGTTTATCGTTTAGTATACTCTTTGTATTTTGATTTATTAGTTGGAATTCGAAAATCTTTGAGACATCCAACCCACGGTACCCAGATAATAATTGATAAACATTTACATCTTTATAGGCATACAAATCATTAGGGTCGGAATATTTTCTGTAAACATTATACAAATGAGTAAGCTTATTTTTATATCCTTTATTTGGCAATTTAAAGTCTTTGAAATGCAAATACTCATTTTGAGAAAATATATCGAATAATTTTGCATTATCCTCAAGCAAAATCATACCAATTATTAAATGGGGATTAGATGAAATGTAAGTATCAATGTTTTCTCTAGCTATTTGCTCACACGTCTTATAAACAGGAAGAACATGGCTCTGCCTATCTGATGTCTGTTCAATGCTTTTAAAAAGCAACCATAGCTCAATGCATTCCTTGGCTTCTTGTTCTACATCTGATAAGTGTGTATCTAGTATGTTACCCTCAATACACATAGTTAAAACTTTATAAAGTCTATTTTTAACACAATATTTGGCTAATTCGACATAAAATTGTTGTTTTGTTACAGTCGCACAGGTTTCAGAGAATATATCATCTATTAATTTTAAATTTTGAGTTCGAGCCAGTCTTGATATAATAACATTCAAATTATTACGTTCATCCTCATTCACAATTCCATAGGAAGAAAGTGTATCATATATGCACATTTTCGTATATGGGAAACATTTACTGCTCGCTATGCTTGCAATCATTTCATTAGTGATTGGCCAACTGCGAAAAATTGCATCTAGCTTTTCAAGAACATCATTACTGAAACCTTTTGTGTCAACATATAAAAACTTCTGGGCAAAATTTTCATTACTAAAGAATATGTACCGAGCATTCTTATCTCTCACTACTTCAGACGTTTGCATATTAATCCAACGTATAAGGATCATCGCCTTATTATTTTGAACCAAGTAATTCCATACTTCGAGAGGTGATGAAAAATCTAGCAGTGAGAACTCTGAAAACAAAAAAGAACTTATGAAACATTTAGCTTTTGGATTTTGTGGGAAGCTCTTGAAAGCACTGCTTGAGAATCGATTATATCAGAACTCTTGGGACGTCATAATTTTAAAGATATGAATTTTAGAAAAAATAGTAGAAATGTAACGTAAATATGTATAAAAATGGAATTTAGTAATAGTACCCTTTTATAAATTAGCAATGCAAACCTAATATCTTCTAGTATTCTACTATATCCTATTCTACTATCGCAAAAGGGATTGGTAAATATTTTATTTCTGCCACTTCGCCGGCCTCGGTCGCTTTGCTCGCTCGGCTCCCGCATTATAGTCCGGCACTAACTCACCAGACCATGTGACTTTTTATCATGCAATAATCAAAAAACAAACTTATGGGTACAAACTTGTTGACAATTGAAAGCGGGCGGAAACTAGTAATTTTAGGGTGTGTGCTTTGCTTGATTCAGCAGAAACGTGATGCTACGACTAAATGGAGTTATTGCAAATCTCTCGCTGGAGTAACAGGGTCAGTGACTTCCAGCCTCCCTAAAATGCCGGAATTCGGAAAGGTTCGCTTCAGCACCATTGATAACGATACCTTATCGTAACTGCTACATCCAAATGTTGATTGATTTTAAGTGTTGATTTGGGTGTTTTAAGCTTATGTTCAGCTCCACAAGGTAGTTGGACTACACTCAAAGTGAAATTATAACTTGGTCATATAAGTAAATCTAATTTCGAGAACGAGATAAAATACCAAACCCAGTTAGGCTGTGCAGTTTCGGAAAATTCGCGATATCTTCTCGGACGAAATTCATCACTGCCTGGAAATTAGGTCTTTGAACGGTGCGTGTTGCCAGTAATGACATATGGAATTAGGGTATGGAAGCTGACTTTGGCCCTCATAAGAAGGTTCAGAGTCGCCCAGTGAGCGATAGAGTGAACTATGCTTGCAGTTTCTCTACGTGACCGAATCAGAAATAAAGAAACCCCAGAAGAGCTAGTACCTGTCATAACTCAATAGGTTGCCAAGCTAAAGTGGCAACGGGCGGCGCACATAGTTACTGATAGTTCGACAGAACAATGAAGATTGGGGTCCCAAGATGCCGATAATGGCGGCTTAGCATCAGAAAGTGCAATGTAGCAGCTCCCTCAGAGGGGCTGAAGACGTCATGAGTCAGGGGAACCAACTAGTAGCGAAAAGGACCAGATCATTGTATGTGGAGATCCCTAGAGCTAAAATGAAGAAGGTCCAGCAGTGAATGTCTATTGGATGATGACGCTAATGAATGTATAATATACTAGCGAGCACCCGCGACTTCATCCGCGTTAGTTTTGGGTTTTTGAGAATCCCACAAGAACCTAACATTTTTTCGGGATAAAAAGTGTCTTAATCCAGGTCATAAACTATATGCGTACCAAATTTCATCCAAATACGTCACACATTTTTGAAACCGAAATTATTATAAAATTCCACATGCTAAAGTTAGTTTACAGGAATTTCAATTAAATTTAATTTGAAATTACATTTTTAACTTTAATTTACCAAAACAATGATAAAAAGTAGATAAAATATTTTTTAATCCTGTTTCAATGATTTTTAGCCTATCCGCCTTCGAAGGCCAATTACAACAAAAATAGGCTGATTAAGTACATATTTTTTTAAGATTTTTGGTAGTTTAGAAGCAAGAGGAGTTTTTAATTTTAGCCAGAAGCTATGGAAACTCCTTTTTGTATTTTTAAATTGAAGTTGAATGTTTAAGTAAATCCTACTAAAACTAAAGCTCCAACTTTCAAGCCTTTTTTAGTAACTTTAAGTAATTTCTGAAAGCTGAGTTATTTTTTTTATTAAAACAACATTCAAGACAATTATGTCACAAAAAAAAACTACGAAACCTACTACGAAAAAAGATATGAATTTCGGAAACCCCGCTGATAGAAATCATTAAAAATACACAAAAAAAATAACTCGAAAACTAAGAAAAATCGCGGAACATACACGAGGTATTTTCGGATACCCCCAGGTGCGAGCAATCTAAAAAAGAATTGTTGACGTAATGACGTCAACAAATTGTTTTCAATTTGAAAGTGCAGGGTGTTTATGATTGGTCAGGTTTAGGATGGGTGACCATGATTATGAATATGCAGGTTGTTTGAGATTGGTTGGGTTTGGGATGGGTGACCGCGATTATTAAGAATATGAAGGTTATTTACGATTGGTTGGGTTTGGGATGGGTGACCGCGATTATTAATAATATGCAGGTTGTTTACGATTGGTTGGGTTTGGGATGGGTAACTGCGATTATTAATAATATGCAGTGTTTACGAATGGTCATGTTCAAGAGATGATTTCATTAATAAGCTCCGGTCTCTCTCTCTAATTATGTGTAAAAATAATCTGATTATTATCTTCATTCCACTCCATAACAAAACAGACCGAAGAAAATTGACACAAATTTTGAACAACTCTTTTTCCTCTAGTGAACGTTAACAAAAAATATGTAACTTAGGGGAAGTTACGTATTTTTACCCGACTGCGCAATGCAAGAGCGCGAAGCGCGACGCGCAGACAGGGTATAGTGTTTAACAGTCTATATATGTATGTTTGTTCCTTTGTGGCACACTAGAGACCAAACGCCTGGACCGATTTTGATGATTCATACATCAATCGATTCGTCTCAATCATGGGAGTGCTACTAAAGTTATGATAGTAATAAAAATTCAATATGGGCAAAATTAGGCGCCATATTGTGACGAAGTAAAAAAACTAAGTTGACAAAATATGTCGAGTGGGGTATCACTGTCTAGATAATCGGAAATCATGTTTAGGTTCCTAACCCCATTTTTCATTTTATATGATTGTTTAGGACCTACAACGCTTTAAAGTTGTATATTAACCACGCGCTTTTAATTTCAATCTTACGTTTGTATGGATCTTTGTTACTCTTTCACCAAAAAATACTGAATGGATTTTAATGAAACTTAACAGTAATATAGCTCATATATGATAATAACATATATATTATAATTTATGTAGTTATTGAGTGATTTGGCCAAAATATAACAATAAGTGTCACATAAGATGGAAAAAAATCTCCCATCTGCAAGCCATTATGGCCTGCACTGCAAAAACAATAAAAGTTACATGAATGTAATGTAGAGTGAAAATGTATCTCTTAAATAGTTCTAAAAAAAACACCATATATCTATTTTAAATGTGTAAGCCATTACCGCTAAAATAATGAATCAAAACTAAAATATTATTTGATATCTATTTCCAAAATGTACATTATGTATTAACAAATTATTTTTTTATCAAAATAAATACTTTAATCGCTTTTGATATTTAAAGACGATAAACTTTGCCTTTTACACTATGTCATTTCGACAAATATTTAAAAAAAAGGTAAATTTAAAAAATCAAAATACCCGACTGCTTAATTATTCTTCAAATAAAAACTGAAAAGAAAAAATCAAGTCCAGTAGTCTATAATTCTGTTAATAAGGAACAAAGCTACTTTAACAGTCGAGACCCACTGTTGAAAAATATTATGTATTCTTGAATATCTAATGGGTCCCGACTGTTAAAGTAGGTAGCTTTGTTCCTCATTAACAGAATTATAGACGACTGGACTTGTTTTTTTCTTTTCAGTTTTTATTTGAAGTATAATTATAATTAAGCAGTCGGGTTTTTTGTTCACGTCCACCTAATCCATAACATCAAGGTGAATGAAACGGCATCAACTTAGGATTTTCTTTTCACGGTGAACAAAGTTGATAGAAAAGTAAAGGCTTAGGCTTAGAATAGGAACGCGCTAAGTTACAACAATGCATGCGTTTTAAAATCACTGTTGAAAATTATATAGGAAAAGAAAAAGTATCTTAGTAAAAAAAAAAAATGGTTGCCTGTAAAGTCGGTTTTACGGGCGAAGATTTTACGTGACAACGTCTTTTTCTCGGTAGAATATTTATTGATATGAATATAATTAAATTGCACAATAGGAACAAGGAATTGAATGAAAATAAGAATTGCACAAATTTTAACTATAGAAATATATTTTGTTTACTAAAACATTGTACATGTAAACTTAAACTTAACACGAGAGACTCATCGTAACGTTACCGAGCGTTACACTTTTTCATAAGTGACTCCCAGCCGCAACCTAATTTAAGACGTTGTCACGTCAAAAGTATGTTCAAAATACTAAGATACTGAAAAAAGTATTTAAATACAAGATACAAAATAAATTACAAAAAAGTATTTGAAATACAAATACGTATTTTTTATATTGTATCTGTATCTTAGATACTTTTATCTGAGATAAGTCACATCTCTGAATATAAGCAAGTCCTATGGTTTACTAAATAAAATAGTTTTGAGATGTTGTTTCGAAATTACGGATAGTTTTAACTAATTTGGGTAGTAGTGCAAATTAAAACAAACAGAAATCCAAAGAAAAAATAGTAAGGGTAGGTATCAGGTGGATGATACACACAATCGGCAGGGCAGGCGTCTTGCTCAGGCTGGTAGGTGCCAGATGGACGACACACACCATTGTCGGGGCAGGTGTCTTGCTCAGACTGGTAGGTAACGAGTGGACAATGTACGCCAATGTCATAGAATAAGAGTTTGGGGTAATTGATTACAGTTGGAAGGGAAATTGACACATTCCACATACATTAGACTTTTTACAACAAAATTTATGCAAATTAACTTAGTAGCTATTTTCATTTTTACATATCTAACAAAAAAAATATGAATTTCAGATTTGTGGTATATTCAAAAGTGTTATCAATCAATCAAAATCGTGTTTTAAACATTTTTTTATAGATATGTTTGACAATGACCACCATGGTTAAGTGAAAGTGAAGTCCAGATGCAAGGATAGCTGGTACAGTAGTTCTACCTGTCACACCAGCCATCCTCACCCTGCCAGCCTGCATATTGCTTCTTCATGCCTCTTTTAAAGGATCCCAGGTGGCAAGAGGAAGAGAACACCTGCGTTGGCATTGCATTGCATTCCATATAAATAAGAATCACAAAATTTACAAAATTTTAGTGAGAAAGTCATTACACTTCATTGTTGATATCCATCCAGCCTGATACCTTGACTTTTTTCTAGTAAAATTTGATCTACATATATAAAACCCTAGCAATTTAATGCTTAAAATTCAATAGAGAATTTATTATTTACAAATATTCAAATCCCTTCCTTGAGCATTCATTATATTTGCTGATAGCCAGAGTTCAACTGGGGTCACTTTAGTCAAAACAGATTCTTTCAAGCAATTTTCAGATGTAAATTGCTATATTATTGTGAAAAAACTTTTTAATAATATTTAATTGATATGCCCCAGTTGCACATGTTTTGCACTTTCATACTGAAAAACTGGTAGTTGTATATGTTAAAGAAAGACCTATGATAGTCTATCGTAGAAAGGTATTACATTTATTAAATGTAGACAGATACGAACATAATGCCAATATAAAATATACGACAAAGTACCTATGAACCCTGAGTATCAGCTGTATAAACAAAATGTAGAAAGTCACATAAGTGTAACCTTAATACCATTGTAATAGGATATATTATTTCTTTATAGAGCAACATTGCTAACATAACTTTTTAGTATTAAACTAGTTATCAAGTTCTGATTAATAATAATGTTTAAAATTTAAATAATATTCTTAACATACAACTAATTCTAAGTAATATATACTGATTATTTTCAAAAATGATTATTTTAATTTTACACTTACCAAAAGATTCAAAAAATAATGCAGTAGCAATTTTACTTTTCCATTCCGGTTGATATTTTTCTATGTTTTCTACTGTTAATGCTTTTATTTCACTCTCATTGACTATGATTCTCTCTTTACCAACACCAAAAACTTTGTTTTGCTTAAAAGTGCCGTCTACTTCAAATGATTTCTCAAGATAACGTAATAAATTCCAGTGCCTTCTAAAATGTTCCCATGTCTTGATATTTTCTGGTAATATATCTTTAGACAATTTCTCCAAATGCTCAACAATAAAGTCTCTATACTCTATTTGGGGTGATGTTTTAGCCAAAGTTATTAAATGCATTTCAGGATTAACTTCCACTTTACCTAATATGTGAAGCACTTTAAATATCTGTTTCCTCATAAGCAACTGTACAGTCCATGCCTTTACCTGTAATATATCCCATTTATATAATCTGGTTGATGGTCTAATTTAGTTTTATATTTTTTCTAACTTGATAATATTTTTTCTAATTTGATTTGATATTGATAATACTTTACTAATGAATATCCGTATATTATATTTATTTAAGCGAGAGGAGGAGCTCAATGGCGCAAGTGGTTAGCGCGTTCGGTAACGTTGAAGTTAAGCAACTTTCGCAGTGGTCGGTCATTGGATAGGTGACCAAAAATTTACTATCTCGAGCTCCTCCATGCTTCACAAGGCACGTTAAGCTGCTGGTCCCGGCTGCATCTGCAGTCATTAGCACCCACCAATCCGCACTGGCCCTGCATGGTGGGTCATAGCCCAATCTCCCTATTCCATCCATAAGGAAGGCCTGTGCCCCAGCAGTTGGGACATTATTAGGCTGATGATGAATGAATATACAAAGTAATTAGGTACAATTGTAAAACACTAACTGAAAATGTTGTTTCCTTTGTCAATTACTCTGCCATTTTTAAAACTTTTATTTTGCTTCTTACCTCGGCCATGAACCAGTCTGTGGCTGTAGATTCATTCCAGTTATTTTTATGCATTAAATACTTCAAACACAAACTTATATGGGTTCCCTTGGCAGCAGCTTCGCGTACAACATCTCTCGGTGATTTTTCTTCCCAACAGGACCAAATAATTTTCTCATTTTGCGAAATTCCTTCCATGATTCAATTTAAAACCATTTATAACATGGAAGATTTGAGTCGTCCCTAAACTCCCTCCCAAAAAAACTTCACAATTTATTTATTAGATCTAAAGAATACAACTGTTACAGTGTCCAAACTTCCGAATTCTTCTTCTTCTTTATATTAATTAGTTTATTTGCGTTATGGTAGTGTATTTTGCTTAATTATTTCATTTAAAACCCACTATAGAAAACAAAGTAGGCTTGTTGAAAATATATCGATGTATCGATATATCGATATTTTTTGTTCGGTATATCGATATTTTTTGCCGATATATTTTGATTCGATATATCGATACATCGATACAAAATAATCAATATCGAAATTCGTATCAAAAACGATATTTTTTTAATTATTAGCGACATATCACGATTTAACTAAATTCGTATCTGGAAAAATCGTAACTGGATCTCAGATTAATGATATTCAACATATCTATGATCTGTGCTGTATTTAGTATTGTCTATGTCATCATTCGAAAATAGGGTCTATTTTTAGGACGATAATTTTCGTTCCATTATTATTCCGCGTGTAATATTTCGTGAGCTACTGTACGATATTTTTGGGAAAATTGGTCCGATATATCGATATATCGATGTTTTTTTGGCGATATATCGAAGCCGATATTGATATTTTTTAAAAGATCGATGTATCGATATATCGATATTTATTTCAACTTTCCACATCCCTAAAACAAAGTAGAAGGAAGAACACAGAACACAGAGTTCGAGCGCTAAATGTCAAAGTCAAAAACAGACAGCCGGAATGTAACCAGCAATAGGGTGCGGCCAGAGTGCACTCAGATTCAGACTCAGATTCAGATTTCGAAAACAAGCGCGAGAAATAAACAGTGTAGTCTAAGCAGGTTGCTTGCTTTTTCTCGCGCTTTGTTTTCTGAGTCTGAATCTAAATCTGAATCAGGAGTGCAATCTGGCCGTAACCTTCGACTACACTGTTTATTTCTCGCGCTTGTTTTCAGAATCTGAATCTGACTCTGAATCTGAGTGCACTCTGGCCGCACCCATACAGTACCAGTACGAAAAAGCTTTATCTACTATATAAAAATAAGTCGGGTTTTCCTTCCTGACGCTATAACTCCAGAACGCACGAACCGATTTCCACGGTTTTGCATTCGTTGGAAAGGTCTCCGGCTCCGTGAGGTTTATAGCAAAGAAAATTCAGGAAAAATTAAAAAAAACTTCTTTTAATCGCCAAACGAAATGTTACATAAAACGAAGCCATCTGGTGGCGAAACGGAGTTCGCGGGGTTTGCTAGTCACTTCTATAAATGGAGAAGAAAACTGTCATTTCTCACCGCCAGAGGAGCTATTGTCATATGGCCTACGACATCTTTTAAAATAGATACCAAAAAAAATATTGTTATGTACAATTTCTTATTTTTTTATAGCCTGGTAGGAAAATGACTCTATCCCATCCCACCTGATGTTAAGTGGTGATAAAGTCCAAACGCGAAGATTGCTGTTACAACAGTTATAAACTGCCACACCAACCATCTTCACCTTGGCAGCCAGCAAAAATGTTTCTACACACCTCTCTTAAAGGACCTCAGATTGTAGAAAGGAGGAAACACGTCCGCGTGCAAAGAATTCCACTTGCGAATAGTATGACAAAGAAATGGGGCACCAAACTTCTTCGTTCGTGTAGGAATAGTGGCCACAGTAAGTCGATCAAAGTAGGTCAGTGTGCGTGGACATCAGATGAAAAGGTGATATAGGGTTAAGGGAGAATCACTTCTCAGAACACTCGCCGTGGTATAGTCGGTAGAATGCGCTTAAGGATGCCACATCTCGGCATAATAGGCTAGTTGCCTATATTTTAAAAAGTGGTTAATAATATACCTTGATATTTATTTAACCCCAAAAAAATATTATTTTAAATAAAAAAGTACATTAGCAATATGTATTTTTTATTTTAAAAAACTTGTTCAAATTTCCCTCGAAAACGCTCTAGACTGTCATGGCGTCTAGAATGACGTCACGCCGTGCAAAGCAAACAATACGCTGTACGCCGACTATTAAAATTATTTAGTTAAAAATGAATCCATCGTATTACAAGTACTGTATAGTGTCCTAGTATAAACGGAGAAGCATAAAACGCCAGACAAATTATTTATATGCCACAAATGCGGAAAAAATGGTTAGAACTTAGAACTTGCAAGGAGGGATGGTACCTATTCATTATTTATCAACAAATACAAGAATAATTTTGTGATTAACATTTTGATGTAAGTATTTTGCATAACATAATCAATGAAATCAAAATGTTATAAAAGCCGGATAAATTATATTGCATTATATTGATAAAACAATGACAATAGGTTGAGGTTAGGTAAGTTGATTTAATTTTATGGTATGATTTAGAGTCTATTTTAGAGTTCAATATATTTATTCATAATAATAAACACTTCTTATTCTTGTTCTAGTTGCCAAATGATATGCTTAATTATGTCGAGTAGTTATGCGATTAATTTCTTATTTTGGTTAAAATATTATTATTTGCTTCGGTAAATCCCAATTCCATGGATTTATTAGGCTTCCTTTCAATACTTATCTGAAAACAAACTGATAATTTGTATCAAAGTAACAATAACATGAATGAGATATCAATGAAATGTATGGAAACGGCAACCACAAGTAATGTTTTGCACGTGGTGACGTCAGTCTTTCTGATTGGTGTTTGCCGTCACGTGATCTAATGCCTATTTTATTCGAATTTATTTTCTAAAAATAATAATAATCTTTAATTATTATGATAAATAGCTTTATTTTTTGTTATCTGTATATCATAATTCATATTTAGAAACTGTAACCCATTCGATTTATTGTTAGTTGACACAAGCCTCGAGTTTGTTAGTTACCTCTTCACCCCCAATGATGCGGGCAGTGCGCCGCTGCAACCTACCCAAGGCATCGCGTTAAGTACTTAGCGGAGCCATCTCAGAGGTGCGAGCAATATTGCACGCAGGACCGCACTTGCGATTTGTACAACAAGCACAGTTGATGGAAGTTTGTTAAGGTGGGTTAAATGTTATTTAAGTAGAAGAAGCCAACTAGTTGCTATAAAAGGTGAGCTTTCATCAGCATTTACAGTTTCGTCTGGTGTTCCTCAAGGCTCACACTTAGGGCCTCTTCTGTTCATAGTGTTTATCAACGATCTTATTAGTCGATTATCATGTCCTTGTCTACTATATGCTGATGATTTAAAGCTCTTTTAGAGTCTTCAAAGGGATCTAGATATTTTATCCCAATGGTCTCAGAAGAACCGCATGTCATTGAATGTTGAAAAGTGTTTTGTGATTACGTTTACCAAAAAGAAGAATGTTGTAAACTTTGATTATTCTTTAAGCAATATTTTTTTATCTCGAAAATCTATTATTAGAGATCTAGGAGTGATGTTTGACAGTGATTTATCATTTCGAAGCCACTATGATCACATTATAAAAAAGTCATCTCAAATATTGGGTTTCATGTGCAGAAACACTAAGTCGTTTAAAAAGATCTCATCGTATTTAATACTATATTATACACTTGTACGGAGTTTGCTGGAATACAATTCCGTAATTTGGTCACCATACTACATGGTACATATAAACAGACTCGAACAAATACAAAAGCGTTTTGTGAAATTAGTCTGTTTAAGATTTAATTTACTTCGCTCTAACCCAACTTATGAAGACAGATTGTTGAAACTTGGTATGCAGTCATTGATATTTCGTAGGAAATATTTAGATGAAATGACTCTGCATAAAATTATTCACTCTCAGTTAGATTCTTCCTACCTGTTGTCCCATATTAGTTTTAATATTAATTATCGCTTTAGAAAGCCTATGACATTTTTTGTTCCTGTATATCTCAATAAAACTTCTTATTATAACCCTATATCACGTATGTGTCGCCAGTATAATGAACTCGTCGTAAATGGAGCAGAAATAGATGTATTTGATCGTAAATCTTTAGTATTTAAGAAGAATCTAATTGCTAATTTGTAACATTTATAATAATTATTTAAACTAGTGTTAGTAATCAATTTAAAAAATTAAAAATATAATATGATTAGTATGTACATATTAAAGGTTACATCCTTGTTTACTGTTTTATAATGAAAATAATTTTGTTCTGAATGTTTGTCACCTGTTTGTACATCAAATAAATAAATAAATAAAAGAAGAAGATGAGAAATAAAGGTTTAAGGAGTTGACGTCAAAGCTACTAGGGCGGATTCTTGTCGAGGCTTACCAATTCTAAGTGATTTGAGAAAATTCCAGACTTTTGCTGGATCTTTATTATCGTGTGTGTGACATAGTTATAGCGAAGTAAGGCATCCCTACACACCTAATTGCAGTGGTTACGGGCTCTGCTTTGGCGACATCATTCTTATGCATTAGCATTTTGATTTTCTATGTGAGCCAGGGCGCAGATTGATGTTTTAGTTTAATCGGAAAATAACTTGATCATCCACCGTCACCGCCTCAGTTACCAGTTACCAAATACTTATTCATTTCACAGTTTAATATTTGTTAAACATCTCCAAATTGGTGACCCGGACAAGTGAAGAAATAAATTAGACAAACAGGAGTTACACGGCAAAGGCCTTCCATATTATTGGAAAATTACTCGTATGTACATAATACTATCAAGTCAACTACAGGGGTGAGTTTTCCCATCATTACTACGGCCGGTAGTCAACGCATCAGCGATCGCTCGCAATTCGGGCATACGCTGGAAATACACCACAGATGTCAATACATTCTGGGACGAGAGCGTCGTGACGTGACGCCGTGTAAACATCTTATCGCGTCATCATTTACGATAGTGTTTTGTTTGTATTTTTGCTATTTTTCTATCTTTATTTTACGTTTTAATTTTTAAAATAATTGTGTAATAAGGCAGTCTTGTGCAACAGCCCTTGTAACTAGAAGGCGGAAAACGCGGAGAGCAATCAGTAACGGCGGCAACTGATTGCGAGATTGATTCCAGCTCTGGCCGCCGCCTCTTCATCACGGACAAAGTTACCAAGCGGCAGTTTCTAATTGACACCGGGTCCGACTTATGCTGCTACCCCTACCGCTGGCTCACTACACCGAGGAAACCCACCGACTACGAGCTCAGCGCCGCGAACGGGAGTGGTATGAAGACCTACGGCACTGTAAGCCTCTCGCTCAACCTTGGTCTCCGCCGTAGCTTCGTGTGGA